TATATATATATATATATATATATATATTAGTTTCTCAGCCTCTGTGTTCTCTTCGGTCCGTTGAAACGCACTTTCTGAAGGTGTGTACTACATCAACCTGCAGATTTACTCGAGATATGATAGGCCACACATGCACGGAACGCTGCCGTAGCTATGCAGCTATTCAACCACTTAGTTGAGACTCTCCCAAGATACTGGCCCTTGACCAAGTTCAGCGAGTTCGAGCGAACTACTGATATGCACTGGGGATATACCAATGCATTTCCGTGTCACATATTTGATCTTAAACCCACGAAATATTCTACGGCAACGTAGAATACCATTGTAAGCGCCATGCCTTGGGACCCACCTCCTTCAACTGCATCCATCCGCTCAAGGCACTCAACAAAACGTAATTCCGTAAATTGATTTGCAATGGCGCCCACGGTCGGTGTTCCCCAGTGCAATCCTAGAGCATAAAGCCTATTGCACAAAGACATCTTCTGGAAAGGCACGCACATCCTGCGAAAAGACGAATAATCCATGAGAAAGAGTCATTTCTACGCACTCTACACTGTGTGGAGGACAAGCAACCGCATCCCCCTATCGTTTGGTGTGAGAACCGTTTCTTATGTAACAGGCACTACGGCAACAGGTCTGCTGAGGTTGTGGTCAATTCTCTAACCTTCTGTTTTCCTTCAGCTACTATAAGCGCCTCTCAGTACCCGCTAATGAACGCACGGCCTGATACAAGCAGAAATCCTTATGAGGCGTCCTAATTTCCCCAACAAATTGAGAGGCGTTTAGGCTATGGGAGACTGGGACATGCAGAGGCACGCTTTCACCAATTTGTCTGCCCGTACAAGTTGCACCCCTGACTGATATGAGCAAGCAAATGTTGCTGAGCATATCAACGTGAGAGAGCCGTCCCTACTCGGCCTCAGTCTGTATTGCGTCCAGAAGTCCATAAAGATCTGCTGCATCGGAACCAAACCCAGTGCTTCTTCACCTTAACGGAGCCTGTGCATTTGTTTCAGCTCACGAATAAACATCGCAGCTGGTCACGTAAACGCACGATCTGAGGCCATCAGTGGAAATGGAGATGCGTTTTCAGAAGATGTGAGTTTTCAGATCTGATTGCTTTACTTCCCTGGAGGCTAGGAAACAGTCTGCGCGAATAGACCTTCTCGGTACCTCTAGTTAGAGACGGTGTCCTCGAAACGTTATCCTACAACAGCAGCGGGCACCTCCACATTTCACAATCTTGCTACAGCCGCCCTTTTCTAACTGTTGAAGCTTACAAGCTGCCATTGGAGGAAATTGCAAGAGTAACACCGTTAGCAGGCGGCTAAGGGTACCTCGTCATACCTAGGGCTAACCTCGTACAAAACCCCGACGAACTGCGGTGCGTTTCTTGACACACGCTCTGTGTATACTAGATGCCTGCAGGCAACCTATAAGACGTGAGCTCATCTCTCGGTCTCCGTTGCGTTAAAGATGCTTATACATTTTCCCAGAGTCACAATACGGTTCAAACATGTGCGGAAAACAGGAACTGCTTTATGGTTTGGCAGAATACCAGCATCAGCCACTACGAGGGTACAAAGGCACCTGAAGAGTGGGAAGGACCCACGCCCTGGGTTGACACGACTAAGAATCTCCGGAGGAAGTTTCCAGGCAATTCCAAGGGATTCACAGGTGTGAACCGAAGTTGGTGGGTAATACGAAGTTGCATACGCTTCTGAAAGAGAAGTAAGGAAGCCAAAAGCTGGGCAACAACGCACAATCTGAAAGCGCATCAACCGTTGCCCCGTCGCCCTGGATAACCAACCGTAGATCCAGCTGGTGGCCGGTGGTGACGGCTCCTTGGGTTAGGAATGTGTGTCATGCGGTAGGCGTGCTTGCCACGGCTCTGCCTCTGGTAGTGCCAAACATTGAACACACGTCCTGGACAGGGTCATTGGGACACACTATAGGAGCTGCTACCAGGGGCTGCTTCAACCTGAGTAGGCCTTCCTTTCCCTCTGAATACCTCCTATGCGCACGGCCCGTGGATTTTGCTGTCGTGTTGCCCCACTCAATGCTGTCCTCAACCTACTCCCTGAAAAGGGTCACCAAGCAACATTGCGCATCAACGGATCTTATGCAAATGATATTGTGGCATCACAATGTTCATGCACTCATGCCAGTCATCGTTGCTGGCTCGCCCTTTACCAACAGCGTACGGCCTGAGTACATCAGAATGAGGACAACCAATAGACGAAGTATACCCTTCAACGTCTATGGATGGGCCACTTATCACATGGTTCGTATCACGGCGGGCTGCCAAGGCGTTTCCAACCACGGACTTTCTGAGCACAGCGCACACGGACAAGCAAGCCTGCAAAGTTACCTAGTGGTTTACAAAATTTGGTCAACATGCATCTCTGTTAATTTTGCTGGGCGCCTGCAACGACTGATTTAACAACCAAATTTGAAGCAGACTACTGAGCAGCATTGTACGCCATGCGATAGAGGTAAGACGTCAAACTGTCTTGGCAACATTTTATTTGGTGATTCCCTTCGACCACACCGTAATCCAAAGAGATGGGGGATGAGGCATCGCCCCAGTATACATATATAACAAACGAGCAAAATTCCCTTTGCACGTTGTTCAGAAGATCAACGACCCACCAGCTGATTCCAAAACACCCTTCAGCCAAGTTGCCTCCGGTCTACCTGGATGGAATACCTTGCAAAATCATGCCAAGTTCGCGGGTGGTCTGTTGAAAGCCTTTCTCCCACGCAGATGGCACACGTTGCAAAATATAAGCCAAACGCACCTCGAAACGTAGGAACTATGCTGACCGAGGCTCCGGCACTACACCTGCTCTTCCCGCCCTAAAGGTGAGGGAGTGCGAGTACTAGGGACGCAGAGACGCAGGCGAACTTTCTGTCAAGGGACAGCCACCATCGATATCTTCGAAAGGCTCTTGATGCTGGGCAGTACCTTAACTGAACTAATTGCAAATTCTTCCGTGTAGCTTCACTGACAATCAAGAGCTTGCCTGACTCTCTACATGGGTTGTTTCGGACGAACATCCTGGACCACGACCAGAAATAGTTGGAGCGCTTCGTTACTCAAACCGCTTGGTCGCATATATAGTGATCACCTGCCAGCGTAAGCGCTTGTGTAGCGAGCCATTAAGGGCAGAACACGGCGTTCTATAGTTGTTGAGGCAAGCCACAGTCATGGTGCTTCTTCGCTAGTGTCGAGCACTGTGAAACACTCAACTAACTTCCTGAGACCAACGTAGTTCACGAAGCATCTCGTCTATCTAGATATGGTGTTACCACATGGTCGCAACCATGAATACTACACAGGGCATTTCCTCAAACATAATAATGTTGGGTGTATGCTCAATTTAAACCCAAGTGAAATTGCATATGCCTTTGAATCCAAAAGGTTAGGTACTTCAGCATGCGAAGTGACAGGAACGTACCAACTGGGAGAAGTTCAGGCGATCGTACAGGTGATCTGTCGCTCATGCCTGCTACACGGAAGTCCACGTTATAGTGCATGGAAGCCAAGTCCTTGCTTGTCGGGCTGTACTTAACCTTAAAGACGAAGAGTAGCAGTCACACGCAGAGATGCTACCTTGAACGGCAAGGTGGTTTGGAGCGCAGAAAGTGCATGACAGGAGTAAGCAGTAGCCTACTCTCCACTACGAACTCACATTCTGGACGTCAAACACTATCAGCAGTAAGACTTGCTGACTTCTTGAGCTTCCAAGCCTAACACACAGCAACGTGCAACTTTACAATGGAGCTGTGCTCTAACATATCGGCAGCATCTCATGAGTTCGCGCCCTGGGGAACACTCACTTTCTGCATCAAAATTGCTCATTTGAATGGGCAATCTTCTGACTAGTTTGGGGCAGACTGATTCTTCCGAACTAAATGGCATATTCGGTATGTGGGCGAATTCTACTATGGTATCACACAGTTTGTATATTCTTATCAAGCAGCCGTTAGTAGAGATCGGCATTTGCGTCCCTTCGCGCAAGTGCGAAGGCTGTTTCAGGCCATAGGGACAGAAGGTCATTCATACAAAGGAACGGCTAAGTGAAAAGGAAAGCGCACAAACTAATCCAAATCATCGTTCAATGCAAGACAGCAGAGTGAACGCCATGCAAAGCACAACCCGGAGCTTTGCATTAAAACGAGCGATATAAAAAGCAGCTCAGAAATTACGATAGCCTAAATAGAGCTGTGAAGATCGAGCGGATATTAAAAAAAAAGGTGCTAGTGTGAAGCAGGCAGTTCCGATAGGCCGAGATAGTCTACGCACTTCCTATTAATAAGCGCACCACAGGATGCTGCCAGTGGCGTACAACGAAAGTGATTTGTACACAGCGCACGTCACACCGTGGGAGTCAACTATTACTGAACCCTTTTAGCTCAGAAAATAGGTAAAAATTAGTAGCTGCGGTGAAGCCGAACAAGGCAGCATTTCTAATGTTTGCTGCTGTAACTGAATGCTCTTTGATGCACACTGAGTGGTGGCTCGGACTGAGAATGCGTGAAAATAGATATATCAAACAATCCCCCTCTCGAATAAATTGTTTGCATGGGCGCTTTCGAATCATTTATCCTGAAACCGTAGACAGAAACACGAAAGTGAACCCACCTCCTTTTCTCGGCGTAGCGCTCATCCACGAAATCATGAGTCTCTCAACAAATGTAGAGCATGCACTTTCCAGCATGCAACCCTTTAAGAATGGATGCAGCGTTGCTGTTACCGCGTACTGCCTAATCTCCACAAAAGAATCGTGCAAGAAATTGTGCACTAACAGCGCTGCGTGGAATATTAAATTTATCATATTGAATGAAGAGTTCGCCACAAACTGCAGAAGAGACATTCTTACCTTCAAAACAGGCCGCCGAACGCCTTCTGTAAGAAGGCAAGGCAAGGCAAGAGACGGAGTCTATCACCTACTGCCTGTGAGCCGAAGTAGCATGCATGGCTGCTGTAGGGATTCTGCACACAATAGGCCAGTTCTGAAATGTGACGGTTAAACCCATTCCGTCGATGCGCCCAACAGCGCACTGTCTTACTGGTCTCCGACTTACAGTCTGTTTGAAATGACACTATAACATATGGTCACTCAATTTATTTCCATAAGTGTCGCCTAAATGAAGCGGCCATGGTGAGAAAACCACAACACAGCAAACAGCGCTTGTTAGAAAATGGCACGGCGCAGCTTCGAAGCACACGCGGCCCGTTCCGTGCCAGCAAAGCGAAGAGTCACCACTAAGGCAAGTCTGTCAGTTCAGAATACACTAGCCAGCGCACTGCCTGAGTTCCTCGGTGTCTAGAACAAACTATCGTTTATCCCATCCCCACCAATTCCTGCATCGAGAGAGCGTACACACACTCGGATGAACAACAACCAACGGGGGGACAATCCACTGTACGCATCGCACAAAGGTAAAGTAGTTCTGGTTAAACCTGCAATGAACTGAAGTAGAGACAAAAGCAGGACCATGCAGAAAAAGGAAACATCTTGATCCCGTACAATGCACTTTGCTTGCAGACGGTACCTCTTGCTATACCGAGCTCCTAACCCTCTCTGCGTTCACTACAAGTGAAGTCGTTGGCATTTGATTTCGATCCAGAGCACGCTATGCATGGCGCAACTACTAGTGAATGACGTACAAACTATAAGGGCAAAAGGAAGGGATATGTCGTACCGACCTCTCAGAGAATCCACGATGCTGCAGCTTGAAGAAGCAGCCAACCTCTTAGGTGTTCTTCCACAGGAACTATCGATGCGCCTTCAAACGGGTCGTGCACACTTTCTGAAGCAGAGTGTGGTTGCGCTTTCCCTATTGCTTGTTCAAGGCCGCTTTCAAGACAACGAAGAAGCCGGGCAGAAACTATTCGGCAAGCTGCACACAATTCTGCGTGCTCTTATCCCATTTTCTCGGTCAGCTTTCCCAGTGCACCTGTCGCATTCTGCAAGGCAAACGGGAACTGCGCTCCAACGGATCGTGTCTCATTCAGAAACCGCTGCATCGAAACGTTCACCAGATTTCAGGTGATCCTTATTTGACGCGCACTTCCTGAATGCTCAAGATTACAACAATGCGGACATTTTGAGATATTTAGGAATCGACAAAAATGACCAGCGCGCACACTTGGATTTGCATGAGTCTCCGAGACTGGCTGGTACCTTTTCCCCCAGAGCCGTTGAGTGCCAGCTGTGAGCTTGCAGAAGGAAGAAGGGATACTGCAATCAAAAGCGACATCTCAATCCCATTATTAAAGAGATAGTATAGGACTTCTTACTCAAACCTTACGTCCTGGGAAGAAGTCAAAGGATATTGATATTGCTCAAGAGTTTCTAGGCAGTGGGAAAGCATGATCTTCGGAATGTTGCTACTTCATTTGGGGAGCGAAGAAGTTCAAACGCACCTTAGGTTTCCTGCACATTTTCCCGACATTGCTGGTAAAGCTTACTATCTGTTCGGATTGGAAGAATTTTACTGGATGCTGGACCCATACAAGCTTTTTTTCAACCTTTTCCGCTGGTAGTTTCCCGTAGCACGTGTGGGCTGTTTGTTAAAACGCGTATTCCCGAGGACACCAGACAAAGTACACTGCGTCATGAAAACCTTGGAGTCAGTAGACTACATACTTGTAATCCGTAAGGCATATCGTGTAAAGCAGTAACTTACTCTCTAGGTTGGCGTCGACAGATAGACGCAAATATCAGGGCAATTGCTAAAGACTACTCAGTTGTCCCGCAAAACCTCCCAATGAAACGAGTGAACGATATATAGGCTGCATGCAACTTAAATTCTGACAGAAGGTATTCCATTAAGGGGAGGCAGCGGGTGGAGCTGCTGAAGCACGTACACCATCTTGTGAAGAGTATCCACGCGGTAACCACCAAGACGCCTCTTCAGCTGCACCCCTCTACAAAATGCAAACTTTGCACTGCAACCGGAAGATAACCCGTGCTGACTCAACCGCAAAAGGCACTTCTGTGCAGTGTCTTCCTTTCATGGAGAACAGACATTAGGACCTATTGCCTGGTTAAGTCACTTGAAGAATTTTGGAATGCCTCACTGTCTGTAGTCACAGTTGTGGCACAGAGCATGCATCATTTTCTGAATACACCAGCACCTCTGACACCATCGGGTAAGTTCAAAATGCTTCAAATATCGAGAGGAGAGCAGCATTATTCGACCTGTTGCTTCAAGTACATTTTTGGTATGATGCTTCTGTATGTTATTGCCAAGAAGTGTGCTATGCGAATGACGTAAATGGATATACGTGGCATGCAACAGAAACCATGCATTCGGGTCTTCGTAAGATGTGGACAGTACCACTGGTGCGGATGTCTGAACATACACGTTGAAACTCGTAACGCGCTAATTAGTGATGGTGGCGTGCTGGAAGGCATACCTTCTGCATTGAACACCCAAACCAAGGAATCGGTCTCATGCCCATAACGTATCCTAACCCTCCCCACGTATTGATAGGGCACTGAGCAATGAATTCGCCTCTAAGCTCAATAGTCAGGCTAGGCTTCTCCACCCATTTCATCCCATGGAGCATACTATCTGTTTTCGAGCAGTCTTGCCATCTGCCTCACAGCATATGGAGACAAGTGGATGTCATCCCTTCACATGCTTTCTGAAAGGCTGCGGCTTTAGCTACTTACGTTCAACGCTAAATTTTGAATAACGCCCTGGATGCGCCTTGCTATAGATTAGTGGGGTACCCACCAGCTATTCTTGGATGTTGCCAACTCGAAACTGAACCAGTCCGAAAACGAAGGCTCAACAGGTCCTAAAGAGGGCGGCAGTATCAAGGTGTGCCAACTGCAAATCTGGTCCTCGAGAGGCCAATGAGAACGCACAGCCTAGGCACCATAGAAGTACTTGGAGCCAGTACAGCAGAGTGAAGCATCACCTGGCAATATTACCGTCAGAACGCGTGGAAGAGCTCATAGCTGTACGCCACGGTGTTTTGAATTCCTATTTGCAAGTGGCACAACGGCGCGTACTGCCTGTGGCAAAGCATGCATCCGCATTACTAAACTTGTCGAAATTTCAGCCCCAGGTGATGCATAGATCTAACCTGCGTGAATGGCATCTGCCGCCTGTTCTCAACACAGCTAGAAATGGTCTGGGCAAGGTCAAACACACGATCTGAGCTGTCATAGAACACAGTAAGCAATGTATGCAGCGCCGGGCAAAATCCACCGTGGATCCCGTAGGGACAGACACGATTTCCGTTGCCAGAGGCAACTGCATGCTAGTCATAATTAAGTTGCTATTTGACAACCCACTTCCTGCACAGGTTGCATGGAATGTCGAGGGGCTGCTTCATGCTAACTTATTAGATCTGCATAAAGATTGAGGTGCCTTTGCTGTTGATTATATGGGCAGAAGCTCACCTTCTGCGCTCAACAATGTTTAGCAACGAACTACGACTACCGAATGTTCCTGCTAAGTCCACTACATGGTTGTACACCATAGGACCCGTAATACATGTTAGCAATACTTAGAAACGTTTCACATAGGAATTGCCGCATTGCTGTAGTTTATAAGCAGTCAATCTGCGAACGATGCAAGCCAAGCTCACTGTCTGGTTTCACAGATAATGAGGATACAACAAGAGTCCTAGGCAACCGACTGCAGCAAATTAAAACCGTTCTACATAGGGAACGATACTACACAGGCGAAGTCGGCAATTTGCCCAACGGCTCCAATACACTGGAGTTCCCTGCATACTGGCTATTTCACTTCCCGAAGTACAGGGGATTTTTGACTGCCTCGCGTTGGTGGCTTTTAAACCTACTAGCTGTTGCCGGAAGCGGATCAGCGATCCAATGGCACGCAAATGCTATTTATTTATATGCCAGGAGAGCACACAAAGGCTAGACTTAACAGGTCAGTGCACCACATGCCACTGTATCCAGAAATGACCCGCAGCTCACTGTCTATACCAATTGGTCCGAATAAGAAGGCCAGCGGGAGGTGTTTTGCTTTCGGCAGTTCCAGTGGATCCTTGCAGACCTATATTCACTGTTGGGAAGTTACATGGCCCGAAAACTAAGCGTCGGTTAGTATGTTTCAGTACTCTGCCTCGACCAATGCAGTCACACGGTTAGTATAGAGACGACTCACCTCCTTTGGAGATGAGGCATAATCTGATGAGGACGATATCCGGGGATGTTTCTCAGAAAAGCATGGTAAAGGCCACGCCTCGGACGTCGCGGTGAAGATTCTAAACAGTCATCGCTTCGGCGACTATTTCGAACAGTAGTCAACGAACCGTCTTTAGAGCAAATTTCTGAGGGCTGAGTGCCCAGATGGCAAATTATTCGGTAGGTACATTACTTCGCGTGGTTGTCTGTCCAAGAACGTGACTGCTCAACTTTCTGGAGCCTACGTCCTGAGCAACACAGTCAGGCACTCTTCGGCCGTGGAGACCATTGGTCCCGGAATCTCATATTTGATGTTTATAGACATATCCTCGACTTCAACGTACTTGCGACACTTCTTCTCCTCACATTGCCTATACGGATGAAGCGTATTTCCTCGCTAAGCATTATCATGTGGACGACCGTCTATTACACTTGTGCTTGGAGAGGGGCGGCATTCCAAGGGCAACTGCCAAGTCACGCATTTTCGCTGCAGTCTCAATTTCTACTATCTATCGACAATGCCCTCAAGAAAAAAGGGTCAAACGCCAAGAAATGCTTCCCAGGCGTCTCGAGAGAGAACGCTCTAGCTGCGCACGAACAAATACCTTACTTGCCACCTGCCGAACGAAGAGAGGTCAGTCCCAGCATCTTTGGTACCACCCTCTGCTGCATGGTTGTGAATAGCTCACAATCTGTTTCATACGGAAAGGGTGCGCGCGTGGCAGCCACAGTCATGCGATCACATGTAGCCAGCAGTCTGCCCTCTCTATATATGCCTCTAAATAATGTATGACTGTTTGCAGTCACGCACTTCCTGTGGAGACGCTAGCGGCCCCATGAGGCAGAGGTGTATTCCCATGACTTCTCCCCGTGACTCGCTTGCAACGAATTCAACATATCTTCGATGACTTCTCGTTAGGCACTGACAAAGCCTCTCATAGAGACTCACGCGGTCATGCCATGCTTGTAAAATCTTACATCCACACAATTTGACTGCATTCTCACTGACCTCTGGCGATTCGATAAGGAAGTCACTGTTACCTGATGGATTGTTGCAGCGTGGTTTTGCTTACTTTCTAAAACCGATAAATGGCAATTCCTTGGCATAGCACTCCACGAAACTAGCATCAGGGCCCATTTTGAAAGGCTTTAAAGCACCAGCCACTGGTGTTAGACTAGGGCTTTTACCAAACCACAAATCCCAAATGTAAGGATCTCCACCAAATGGCCTGTAGGGCACCATTAGCTGAGGTATTAAGCGCATGGCGACAACGTTTCGGCAGCTCAGGCGCACTCTCTAATGACAAGCATTGCATCGATGCATGTGCGAACCTAAACAGCCTCTTTCAGAATGCGTTGCAGAATACAAATGACTACGCCATGTTATAGACCACCCACCAGCTGCGATACAACGGTGCAGATTGCCGCTCTGCTGCCCGACCACTAGCCATGGAGACGAAGCAACAGCCACCCCGGAACGCTTCGAAAGAGAGCTCCGCGCATGTATGCGTCTAGCATGCATCAACGATCAAGCACATGCACATATTGAGACCCACTTCCTGTGACCAACACCTAGTCACTAAGGCTACCTTATCGACAATCCCGCAAAGCAAAATGCAAGGGTATTTATGTTGTACAGCACCTGTGAACGCTGTGCCAGCCCCATGGTAAGACTAAACTATCATTATCAACACTGCCGAATACCTTGCAAAATGGATCGCCATGCCGCTTTAAATGCTTTGCGCAGCGGCACATTAGTTCCATAGTTAGCCTGGAGGGACACAGGAAGTTCCGTATGTTCAGACCCACCTCCTACACAGAACAGAGAGCTACAACCACCCAGCAACATGAGTGCACCTTAAGTGCACCTTGACCGATCAGACATCTGTAAATTTTTTTGTGGCAAAATTCGCGGATGCCCTGGCAGACTCACCAGCTGAAACATCTCATCAGCTCCTCTCTATTTCCCTCTGGTTTGCACTGCCTCAGGTTAAGTATGGGCAGACGATAATCTTGTAGAATGCAACCCACAGCCCCCGTGAGGGACCCAGTTGCACACGAAAAATCCCACGAACGCGTGAGGCAGGGGGAGCAGGGCGATCATCATGAAGCCCACTCTCTGAGTTCCGAACGCTTCAGTGTTAGTGAGCGTGCTGCCTATATACCCAATTCCATCTGCAAGCGCAATATACTGGCACGATATCAGGTTTTCAGCGCAGATAGTAACGTCTTGTTTTACAGTTCGTTTCTAAAGAAGGTGACGCTTTCCATGTCAAATGCAGGCGCACCTCCTGGGGTAAACGCAGAACGTTTGAATGAAAATGACTTCCCTGCCGAGTACACACAAAAGCAGACTTCAGCAGGACGAAGGCTGTAAGTGTGGCGGGGCTTCAACTCTTGACTTACGCCCTGAGAACGCCAGTAACGAAACGCTGCAAAGCTACTCAGTGAGATTGCAGCCCATCCCGTTATTTAAATATATAGCCACAGTCCATTTTGGTGGTTTTGGAAACATCCTGAATTCAACCTACAAACTGAATTGATTTGCCAAGGCACGCAAAAGAAACGGTGGCATCCACCACTGATGGGAGCCCTGCCATATTTCTGTTGCCATTCGTTTTATCAGACATCGTGTCAAGCATACTCAGTGTTCTTTTGCTGCATATCCAGCCCACCGCCTTTCATAGTTACACGCATTGGAAAAGTTGATGCAGCCGTTTGCCTGACGAATTCCCGGAATTGCTCTTTTGTCATTCCGTTTTGCCCGGCTGGCGCGCAAAAATGAAACCAAGAGTATCTACGCCGCAGTGTACTGACTCTCTGTATATGGTGTAGGGAAGCCACGTTCAAAACAAAATATACAGCAGAACATACCCCGGCCTACTCATCATTGCTACGATCACCAGTCAACTGCCAGCCATGCGCTATCCGTGATGAGTGGTATAGGGACTGGCAGTATTTTCTGGTTCATTAGGATCAGTAGGAACACTGAACACAATGCGCCCCATCCATCCCCTGTCTATCCCACCGAGACATGATATCCTTCATACAATTCTACTAATGACACTCCCGATAAGCACGCACAATCTGTAATGGTGTTCAATGGACGCATACAGTGATCCACAGCGGATACAGCACACACTCGTGTCCACATGAAGCATTGATGTGGTTCCAATCTTCAGCCTAAAAAACCGTAGGCTCAAAACACAAATACATAGCTGGACGCAACGATGCAACGAAGTAGGAATAAACACATTCCACCATTTTGCATATGAGCAACAGCCTTCCCTGATGACTCAGTTTGATATCATCCGTACTAGCTGTGGAGTGTTCCACTTGAGTTAAAACGGCAACACGTAGGCGTAGGTGAGCCAAAGAGAATATTGTCAATCTATTATTTACAGCCACAAGATGTGCCGGTTCATGAACGCTTCCCACCAGCAAGCTGAGGCTTCAAGCACTGATTGCTTAGAGCCCACGCACATTCTGTATCCATGAACATCTCATTCAGGCTCCGTATAAAAAGGGTAACACGGGACAAGTATCCCTTCAGGCCTCTAATACTAGCGGAAGAGGCACACGTTCACCGCCGAGCCACAAGAGTGCAGGTTGGAGTATTTAGGAGGCGGTGACAATAAATATATCATGTAGAGAACTTTGCAGCTCACATTCTAGGGTAAAACAGTTGGAATTTAAAAGGCCTGTAGGGTTTAAAAGTCAGCATGGTGTTACTACAGAAGAGCCCCGATCTAGATGAAAGGCCAACATATCAAGAGCGCACTGCCTAGGACGATTACAATGTGTCATTTGGTGATCCAGTGTTCAACTTCTGTCAACAACCAGGCATCGGAAAGGCAACACGGCAAGATAAACACAAAACCTGTGCAGCTGAAAAGCTTCTCTACCCCCCTCAACACCGAAAATGCTTAATCGCAAGCCGTTGGCGAAAAACAAGTTTAGTTCTGTCGCACTACCGGCGCATGTGAAGAGGAAATTGATTCGCCTGAGTTGAGGGCCTCGTTACACCCCGTAGGTCGAAGATTATTTGGCACGCATCATCCCGACAGGCGATGTTGTGAAGAAATGCAGCTGTGCACTAGATTCGTAATCTACACGAGACGTAAGACTTCGTAGGAGTGTTTGGTGCTAGAGCACGGCCTGTTCTACCCTCATACAGATTGTGATATGAGGCCTAGTGTCAGGCAAAGTCAGGTTGTTTTACGATCGACTTCTAAGTCTTACTATCTATGCCGCAAGATCCAGAGAAGAGCATCAACTCAGGTGGCCTTCAAGACTGTGCAGACGTTGCGGGGAAAGGGTTTGCATGACTTATCATGCACCCCGACAAACAAAGCTATTCTCGATTTGGACAATTACTGGTTTGACATCGAACCACCTCCACCTTCGTCTCCATTTCGCATCAAAGCACAGAACCGAGCTGCTGCAGGGCATGACGGCTCTTGGAGGCAAGCAACCCGGCAATTTAAAAGCTTCTCCCAAAGAACAACGGGTCGCTCAAACTGTGCATGCAAATCTATTCCAGCATTACTCAACGTATGATGGCAGCTCTAGGCACCCTCAACCACGCACCATCTGCAATACACGTCATGGAATTAACCAGGATTACCATAAAGTGAAGTACTAAGGGAGGAGGCATATAGAGGAGACATATGTCGGGGTGTTGCTATATATCCAGAAAGGCTGAACGAATGAATAAGGCATCCGCAGTCCCCTGCCACTGCTGTACAAGGGAAGAACAGCGAAGAAGGTGAAGCTTAGCACAATACACGTCATAGGAGCGACGATAGTCGAACAGGTTGCATCTGATCCAACTCACAAGCTTCGGACACCAAGGGGAAACAACCACCCCAATTCGATAACAGCACACACTATTATCAAACCCCAGGTGTAGGTTCCGCCTGTTGGCAGGCACGCTACTGCAACCAGGAGGGCGCACTAGAATGATTAGGCTTGAGTTTCAAACGGTCCACCAGGCATCAACGCAGGTACGCATTCTATCTGCGTTTGCTTGGGCTTGTCAGCTGTGACCGTTAGGGCACAATTTCCCACATCATATGCAAACGACAATCCAGGAACTCACTTTCTGCACGAACGACGGGAATTTATTAGCCTCGCCCCAGACTGCACTTCGGCAATATGGTTGCTGGCTTTTTCGCTCGTTGCAATCTCAACAGGGCACGTCCACAGTATGAATCAAATTGAAGTGCGCTTGCTCTCAGTTCAGTAGCGTAGACATCTTCTAAATAACGCCAAATGAAAGATTTCAGGGATTGTTCGTCCAATATCTCCCGAGCACATGACCTACCTCCTGGGGCACAAAGTACGAGCGCATTGACCCAAACGGTCGCGGACCTTGAAAAGCACATGGAGTCTCATTGCCGGCTTCACTGAGAAATGCACGTCCGTGGCGGATTGGCAATGCATTTTGCGGGCAGCGCTGTCTCCAGCAAAGCACAATGTTTGTTCTGAAAAGTAGCAGCAACACCCAGTCCTGCCGCTGTACGATGCAGCCTAGTAATCCCCTTCACAAGGGTAGAAGGCGAAACAAGGGAACGCGGCAGAAGTTTCAACATGCCCGGTTACACTTTCCTTGCTTGTAGAAGGGTCGCAGACTTCCTAGTTCTGATTCGTCAGCAAACACCTAACGGCAGCTAGGATCTGAATTCGGCCGACCAATATTCTGCTACGAGAATGAACAATGCATCATACGCAGTAGTCACGAAGCAGTTGGTGCACCTACCTCATGGCCCACTTGGCTCCACCACCAGCCAATTGAAGTAATTGCCCGAAAAGATTAACAATGAAAGTTCCACTCTCTGCTGTTTTCCGCAGTCGATGGCCCGACCTGCCTATCGTTAAAAGGCGCCAACTGCTACATAAAGCAAGGTTTCACGACACTTTGATATTCAAAAATTTCAGCTCCGTACAAGTTCAGTGCTCGGCAGTTATGGGGCAATTCATAGCTATGCAGCCTGAAAATGCCCCACATCTGAGTGCAGAAAAACTGAAGAACTGGCATACTGTCTGAAATAGTTACACCGTAGCACTTTGAAAGGGAAGGCACTGTTACAAAAGGGAGTGAAAGTACCACAGTGGTGCCTGATCGCATGAAAATGCCTACTTAGCAGTATAGCAGTAAGCCCACTTCCTGTTCTCGGATGTCAATACCGCAGCGACACCTAAGAGTCACAATGTATAGAAGTGATGGAGAGAAAGTGTACTTCCAACATGGAAAAGTACTCGCATGGCATTTTCATCACCTGGAACCATATACCTGCACAGCTTCTGGTAGGACAGTCAGAGTATATTTTCCGCGTGCAGTTAACAGCAACACACCTTCAAAATTGACAAGACTACAGATCAATAGGCACGCTTTTCCCACCTCGAGTGAGTACGAACAAAGCCTAAGACTCTCTGTCTAAATGGGAGGGTTGTTCTCGGTAGCAAGAGCTACCTTGTAGAAACAGCGAAACACGCCAGTCTAAGCAGTCTAGACCACGACTACACTCGGCAATCAAAAGCTCAGGGCTAACACACTTCCTAAACTCAGAATAGCAGTAAACAGCCAGCAGCACACGATGAGCTGCACTGCACAATGCATGCCACACCTAACGTCGTGCAGTCCCATCGTAACTACGCATCGATTATCGTCTTCGAGTAGAAGAGTGAATGCACCCTAAGTGGAAGCGTCTTGGAAGGAAGGCCGCAACACAAAAGCCAATTAGATGGATAGCTGCACTTGGGAAAAACTGTTTTCTGTGCACAAAGTCTGGCGTTGATGCACAAGACTCACGACCTGCGCTCCGGGAAGACTGACGTTCAAGCCCCGGTAACAAGTGAGCTTCTTCCAGCTTATACCAAAACGGTTCACTCCGCGCCATCCATCCCCCATAGGATTTCCACGATTGCTTGAAGCCCCTGAGAGCCACAGTAAATGATTATCAATGACAGTACCAAGCCGGCAAAAGCTATCAAACTCAAATCTACCAACGTTGCCAAATTAGCTGCTATGCTTAACACGAAGAGAGCGCAGTACCCTATGACAGCCCATCTATTGCTTCCGTCATCTGAGCTGCTAGGGGTGACCGTTGTCAGCTGCATCGCACGCAAGTGCCAAACCCTTCTATCCAGAAGTCACCCCGAATCCCGGTCCGCAGATCACCTACAGCAGGAAACGCAATTTGTCAGCAAACGGAGCTGTGCGCAACTGTTGAATATCCGACTCGTGATGCCTTCACTGGACAGCAGTAGGCTGACCGACCTTCGGCCAAAAAAAGACTACTACGTTCCGTGCACAAAAATGCTGTGGGACCGTTCCATAGTTTCCACAGCATACTGGAAGCGTGAGAGCATCTGGGGCAGAGTCCATTGTCGTTGCTTAACAAACATTTCGTTTCCAGAAGCATTGTGGCAGACATACCTTCTGTGTATATCAATTAATGCAACAAAGCAAAGTTACTGGGCTAAGTTGAGCAAATGCCAAGCATCTCAAGAAAGTAAATCACTGAAAACCTGTAGTAGTAGCAGATTGGCTCCCTCCATCGCGTTACCCCCATCAGCCTGTGTAAAAGTATTGCTGCAGAAGACCCGTAGTGCAGTGACAAGAGGATACATGCTGCCTTCACCAAGGATGGTACGAAAACGATGACTCCATAGCAAACCCCAATGGTGCATTCTGCTCTACGGGGGCATCGATCTGGGTTCGAGCTAAGTCCCTCTGTACACACAGACACAAAAGCGCCTACTTAAGGCCGCCATAACAACCAGCGGTTGAGTTGTAAGCATCGAATGCATTCGATTGTACTCTGAACGGTCGACAGCTCAGAAGATAACAAGGTGGCGTTAACACAGATGGGCATGAAACTTGAAAGATGCTTACCCGAGAACAGGTCAAACAGCTGATGATGGCATCAACGGATCAGACGAAGCAGAATGTAAACAATCAGGCAGAAGCGTCACCAGTGTGCCCCGCATTTACTCACGAGTTTGCTGTTGGTGTAGCTTCTGCCCTCTTAGATATATCCGGGCAAGGTGACCATCTCTATCCCTGCAAATCAACAGACAGGTCATGCCACTTACCTGCCACAAGGACTTCCCGAAGTCTCTGTAAATCGCATCATTCGTTTGTGTTCCTCCTACGTTCTCCACGCAACGATCTACGAGTGCTTTTTCCACCCTGACCAAGCCTACGCGAGTATATGCATGCAATGAGTAGGTAAGTGTTTACTCCCTGCAGAAGGGTCGGAAGTCGCAATCTAGTTGGCACGTCGCATCCCTTTCCGACAGGCATTACAGGTGCGGACGCCACTATTAACAGCAATATGTATCATGGAGCACATAGAGTAAATAGAGATACCCCCGTTGCCCAAGTCAAGCAACACTTTGCATTTGCCAATGAGCTTATGTGCGTGTCCACGAATTGCAAACACGCAGTGGAAGAACTTCGCAAGATATCCGATTATGCAGGGACCAGCACAAGCGGCACAACTTCTGTTGATATTCACAAGCTTAACCACTCATACACTTGCGTTCACGCATGCCCGAAGGTTCTTGTCCTCTCATGTTGGCTTTGTTTTCGCAACCCACTGCCTGATAGCAGCACAAAGTACCGAATGCATATGTTACACATGACGACGAGGCCAGACCTTCAACTCACATTTTGTCAAGAAACTGGCTACCCAAAATGTAGCCATAGTTGGTAAGAGGAAATCAACAACTTTAACCGTTTCAGTTGGGAGGCATTCTGCTAAGTGTGCGATGCAGAAATGTCAGCCGGACTCATCCTCTGAAGGAAACCTACTTTTGCCTTGTGAACAAATATGCCGATAGACAGTAGAACTGCCAGTGCAGCCAGCAGTGCTGTTCTTCTGGTCACTCCTGCTTGTTCTCGAAGAGCTTGTTGGGAAGCGTTCCGTTGAGCCACCGACGCATTATACACCGCATCAAGGGAACTCCTCTCACGAGACAGGTCCTCAACGGTTGCATCACCTGGCTGTGCTTGCTCTGGTGGGGCGTTCGGAGAGTGTGGAGCAGCTGCAACTTCGGTCTCAACAGCTTCGGCTGCACCGGCTACAAGTGCAGCACTCGCCTCGGTGGAAGCATCCAACACCCCTTCCCCGTTAGCGACGCTCATGGAAGCGAATACTATGGCAACTATGAACATGAACTGCATGAGCAAATTGATGAAAATAATTCGCCGTGTGTGCCCGGTTTTGCAGGGTGGGGTTCGTGTTGTACCAAACGCCATTTTGTTTATGTGTGTAGGTAAGTACAGAAAAACGCCTTAAAATACCGAAATGTCAACTTAAAAATAAGTGTGTGTGAGGTCAGACATCGAAAAATGTAGGGGGCATTTAGCAGGTTGCCAGCATATAGCTCCCCCCACGCCGGCTCCGGAAGACGCGCCGTGACTGCCCCACCGGCGAGTGCGGAGCGTACGCTCAACGACCTGCTCTTATAAATATCGTCAGTAACATTTTATAGGTGAAACAGTTTTTACCTTTGCCATTAGGGGAGATTTCTAGAGAGTTTCTAGCATCTTTTACTACTTTTGCGATATTTCCACTAGTGTGATGAGCAACAACAGGAGACACCGCAGCACTCCTCCGCAATCTGTTCCGCCTGTTTAAACTCAACGGTGCCCGTCACATGAAATGCAGTCAAAAACACTGGCTTTTTAATGCATAAAGGCATAGCCTCTTCAGAGTGATATTCTATCCTTACCTCCGTCGCTATCGCGTTGGCCCGCGTGGGACGTGCAATCTGGCACGCCAAGCCTGTGAACAGTTGGTGTGTGTATTCACGTTTTAGGCGTAATACGGTTATGGATGATCAAGTAAATATTAAACAGCAGTTTATTGTGTTACTGCATGTGGCAAACTGGTGAGGTCTGGGATTCCTTTTGCAGCACGATCTTTATATACTGCATAAGCTATGCTGTCGACAGGTCAGTTCGAAGTGGGCACATGAATGAACCCTTAACTAGCCAAAGAAGACACACGTCAAGCAAGCATATGTTCAAACAAAGTGCCTACCCAATTTGTATCTGCACCCAGGAAGGCTTATTTGTACTTACATTTGGGGTTGTCTTGCACAAGTTGCTGGAAGCTGCGCTGTAACCCAAGGAAGGCATCCTTGTCTACTGCAACTCGAGCAGCGCCACGCTCCCGAGGGGCTCTTAATCCGCTAAGCTTAGTACACTTGGAGGCTGGGGACAATTGTCCGATGCCTAACTCGCTCTACACCCGGTGGCATAGAATGGTTAATGGGGGCAAATGCGAAGAGCAAAGGCCGTCTGTTGCATATGCACGAGCCATACGGAATGTGCGCAGACTATACTTATACAGAAAGAGCTTTTTTTTCGAAGTCTCTCGACATCGGTTCCGTAACAGCCTTTTTCTTTTCATACACTATCCATGATGATGAGGATCGATCCTCTGGCTGAGAAACGTCTAACCGTCGGGAGCCTTGCCGAGTTCAATCAGCTGCCCCTTTTGCATCCCATCATATGGAAAATGTTATTGCAACAAACCCAATTCATGAATAATGACCGCGCCTTCGCTAGCCATCCATATTTGGGGTTATCGCAACCCGAGGGCAACGGAGACGTTTGTTGCCTATCTAGCGTTTAAACTCGTCTCTAACAAACACCAAAAAAAGCATACAGGTGTTACTGGCATCTTCTTCATTGAGAATGGTGCCGCTCCAATGGTGGCTGAATCTCAGCAAGCGCACTGAGTTTACGGATTGCATCCAGATTATGAAGCCTTTCCGTCATTCCTAGTTTGGCAGGGGAGCAGGCTAGGACAGAGTTCAGGGACCTTAACCGACGGGAGTGATAGAGACAGCTATAATAAGAAGTATTCGTAATTGGTGAAAGGAATTGCAAAACCTGTAACTTCAATAAAAATGGTTCCTTTTGTGGATGCCAAACGGCGAATGGCAATTGGTAGCCGGCTGGGTAGGCGAAAGGAACCAAGGAGATGGAACAATTGAGAGAGCTTATAGAATATTCACGCATTAAAGAGAGGCAAAACGCCCCAGTCACCACTCTAGTGGGAAAGGAACGGGGATCCGGAATGGATCCGGATGAGCCGATGAATGTTGGGGCTGCGGTTGCCAGCAGCCGCTAATGAGGGGGTGAATAGCAAACACAACGAGAGGCCCGGAAACAAGGCAGTCAGAAAGGCTGGATGGTAAATCGAGGGATGTATCTGCTTCTCGTCGAACCAACAAGGCCCCGCATTTCCATATTAAAGACATGTATATAAACAGCGTGGGAATATAAATAGCACCCCCAAGAGAAGGGGCAAAGCGGACAAGGAATAGCCAAGGCCAAAGCAGACAGCGTGCATCAAGCGTAGCGTCATAAACTGAAATAATTCAAGATAACAGGGAATAAATGGAATTCAACCGCATAGCTCCTGATAGCCTCTGGTTTGTGCTTAGCAAGGCACAAGTATGACAATAAGCGCTAATTTGAAGGAATAAAAAAGAGGGGGAATCGCTGGTAGGACAAGGGACTGGGAGCCGTGAGAATGTGCAGAAGCCGAAGACTCTGGGAGACGGAGCGTGCAACCCCTACGAAGACCAGCAGCATAATGAAGGGGAACAACAGAAGAATACATCAGATCACAGTGGAGCCAACCCCTGTAGGAGACGAAAGCAACAGGAATCCGGAATAACGACTGTGCAGCCCCACAAGCAAGAGCCATCCAGATCTGCGGGAGGCATTCATGCTGAGCTCTAAAGCTGCTAAAGAGCGGCTAAAGGCAAAGAGGGACGTGGTGAAACAGGTGGGGGACGTGGTTGTCAGAATTCACAGGAGTGAGCAGGTAGGTCAAATTCGGGAATAGTGGAAATTGTAATATGTAAGCTCTACGTTGGGTCGCCCATTGGAGTACCAGAGCAGGCACTCTGCTCTGGTACTCCAATAAGCGGACCACTGTAGTGCTTACTTATTTTAGCAGGCAACAAAACATGAATGAAAGGTTATTAACCAAACATCTAATAGTACTTGAGAGTAAATAATATTAGCAAACCGAGCCCACTTTACAACGGGTCCTAGTGTACAAACGGCACACAGGCAAAACTGCTCCAGCTGCCTACAGTGTACATGCATACACCCAGAAAGGCTTGTCTATGCTTGCAAATAAAGTTGTGTTGCATCATGAATTGCAGCAAGGTCCGCTGGAACTCGTGGCTGGCCGCCTACTCGAGCAGCCTCCTGCGCCTTCGACGCTGCACTTCAGACTCGTGGGGACTGGGGGAGGAAGTCAGCTGCTTTCACTACAATCTCAGATGAATTAGTTTTAGTTCCAATGCATCGCTCACTAGTGCTTGGGTTAGACTGAAGACCTTCGTGAAGAGCAGCGCATGTCTCCATTTCGGTTCACAATGGTCGTGCAGTTACACCATCACGAGGCTCCAGCCGTCCTTACTGCAGCGGCCCAAATGTCTGGAACTGCTTGAGTAGAGGCAGCTTGCTATGGATTGCGATGCAACTCCCCTTACCTCAAATTACAAAACATCCCCACAAACAAGTGTCAACAAGCCTCACTTCCGCGGCGGTATGCATGAACACGGTACGCTACAGTTGACGACTGTAGCTTGCCCTCTGATCTCCTAAGGCCGCGTAACGGTTTGTCTTCCAACTTCAGACAAAACTGCATAAATGTGACAGATTACGCACTGCCCATTGCTAATCCTGCAACGTTAGTGTCCCCTTGGATATTTCGGGTGGATGCTACTACAACCACCACACAAAACCAGCACACAGACCTGCACAGGCTTCGCTCATCCTTCCGACCTCCTATTATTATTACCTGTTGCCTGCATTTGGTTAATTACTAGTTCTTTGAACTTGGACAACAGCAAAGTGGTATCGCGGTTAGACAGGTGCAATAGCCGTGCAATGCCTGCGCGCTGTTGGCTTCTGCTCAACTGCATGGATCCCTTCACACGAATACGTAAGCTTCAGTGCCTGTGGAGTCTGCTGCATTTTACGAGTCATTGTTACATACTGAATAGGGTGGTTATCCCCTGGCCGTTTGCTGCTTCTGCAGCTACATGGTTCGGTGTAGTGCGCAGCCGTCCTGCTTATTTCGTCTCGTAGTACCGGACTCCGTAAGTGTAACCCTTAACTACCAAAATCCCCAGATGTCGATACTGCTAATAACAAATCATTTTAGAGCATCTGTGCTAATAAGGCAAGTTCATAGAATGAAGGACTGTGTTCCACAATGACCCTGTCATGGCTGGGTGTCAGTGCCCAACATATTGAGCGACGGGGGGATATCAACAATGGCGGAGCGGTTAGGGGCCTGACCTAGAACTCCACCAGAGTCGTAATTATAGACATAATACAGCTATATAGTACTGATTCTATTTCCTATCCAACTAGATCTCTATAGGAACCTACCAGGTACCAAAGTAGTGACTAGGGAGTACGCCACACCGCCGATAGTGGCTGCCAGCAGGGGTAATCCTACTAACCTATGGCTCTATCTACGGTACTCGATTCTTAGAACAGTTAGCACTATTAATTCCCTTTCTTAGTTTCCAATGTGATAATCCTTCTCTTTATGGTCACTAAGCTGCTAGAGACCATACCAGAGCCATATTGTAGTGCCTGTGCACCACAATCGAGGTGTAGGAGTGGCAGCAGTTTCCTTTGTGCGTCATTAGACTCAGTATCCGTTATTTTTAACCTGCTTGTATCGTCTGCGCCTTCACGTTCGGGTCATGTTGGCCAGCAGCGTCAGCAGCAGCATCAGCCCAATTCCATCTTGCGTTCCATCCGGAAGGAAGCAAGAACAAGACATTCGGGAGCTTGTGTGTTCACAGTTGCATTACGCTTACCATATTTTATCGTCCATTTCATAGAGGATACAGTAGGGCAGTATTCAAACGAGATGACACATGACTGGGTAGTGGGCAACTCAAGCAGCCGCAGTCCAAACCCCACAACACGGCAGCACCCCTCACCGAACTGACCCACCATGGCATCCCCTTCAGTCAACGGTGAACCTTCTGCGTCGGGGGCAGTGAACCCGAGCGAATTACGGGACTGCAGCCACTCGGCACGGAAAGTCCCCACCACGGTCGATACGCCCGATGCCGCAGTTGCACAAGGCACAGTCTTGGCACCTTCTTCGAAACATTCTACAACAGCGCAGCTGCTGCCGTCTGCAGTAGCTGATACCGTGGCTAGCGGCAACAGTACAACTGGTAACCTCCCATTCCCGCAGGCTGCTCGCGGGGCAAGCACACGGTCATCGCTAAGCCGGCAGGGAGCCATCAGGCAAACTTCAATCGTATCTCGGGTAAGTGGACAGCGGACGAAGTCTGCAAGATCTGGTGCTGATCTTGGTGTAGTGGAGCAGCAACGTGATACAGTAGAAACGCAAGCAGAGACTACCCGCGGAGGCAGAAACTGCGGTGGCAGCTCCCCGAAATCAGCATTATGCAATGAAGTTTTTCCTTCGGTGAGGGGTCGGGTGGCTAGGAATGCTGCGCGGTCGGAAGTGGAAACTGGTGCTGGTGCAACGCCTGTGGCTGCAGCTGAAGATGGCACCTGCGGCAGAGGATTTCGCCGTGTTGCAGCGGATGTGGGTGTTGCAGGAGCAGCTTGTGCAGGGACACCGCAAGCTGCGGCAGATGAGTTGTCTTCTACTGTTTCAGCGAGTCCTGCAGCATTTCTAGATTGCCGCGGACCTCGTCGGTCACTCCGCCAAGCTCTTCTAGCGAATTCGGGGAAGGCACAGGCTCCTGGGCCAGGGGCCACTTCCACTGTAGGTGAGGGCCCTGTTGGTGGGACAGGCGCAGCAGCGGCAACAGGGCCAGGTTCGGGGAACCCAACTGCTGTTTCGTCTGTTACAAGTGGTGCGCTTGCGGGGTCTGGCACTGCTTCTGGAGGAAGGAGGCGCATGCGACAGCCGCATCGGCAACTCTTGCAGAGCTATATAGTGGGGCAGCAACACCAACAGATGGGAGCCCATGCTGATGAGAGGACATCGTGCCTTGCAGAGTGGCTGGATATACGAGGTGGCAGGCCGTGTTGCTGCTGCAGTGCAAGCTGTGTCTCTTGCTGCGCCAGCTGGAGTGGCAAAGCAAACATCGCCTGTACTGCTGAGGGGACATTCGGTAACACAACCCGTGGGAGTGGCGGGGGCGGCGTGCGTAGCGTCCTTGACGCGTATGCGACTTTAGCAGCAAATCGAGACAAACAGCAGCGATATCACCACCAGCAGCAGCAGTGTTCAGTAGGTTCACGATTTGCTGCGGGGCATTCGCACGCGAGGTCCGGGAACGGAGTTCTAGTTTGCCCGTCGTGGTTTGAATCCTCCATAGACCTTGACTTGCCCTCTGGAGTAGCTTATATCCGCCCCTCTTCGCCTTCTCGATCTGCAGTGTTTTTCTCTCAGCAGACAGCATGGGAGGAGGAAGACATCGCGGATGCAACGGAAGCAGCGGCAGCAACTGCAGGAACACCGTGGCCGAAAGACAGCACCAGCTGTAGCTTTGGAGGGTACGGGTCAGCTACACGCAACGGAGGGCAGGTCCCCCTTTGCTGCTACTGTGGACTCCCTCTGCGACCTCCAACTCTGAGCAGCTTGAAGGGAGGAGGAGCGGAGTCTGGCTGCCCCTTAGCAGCAGCTGCGGCTGCCGCCTCTGCACTGGGACTGACCGGATGGACTCAGTGGTGTCGTTGCTGCACTCGAGTTTACGGAGACTTGCGTCTACAACATCAGCCAAATGCAACGGGGCTCCCCTTCGAATCTTTTTCTTTGCCGAGAGCGCCTCTCCGTTACCTGTTATGTCCTTTAGATGAAGCGAAGGATACGCCGGGGGGTGCCGGGGCAGTTGCTGCTGCACTCGCTGCTGCAGCTGTTGCGGATTCACGCCGAAGCAGGATGAACGATGACAACGCTGCCGCCGCGTCTGCGGAGGTAGAGGGTGATTCGGTTGCTGTCAGTAGTGTTAGCACGCCTAACAGCAGTAGCAAGAGTAGCGGCATGGGAGGCATCGCATCCCAGAGGCGCACACGCAGTGGCCATCATTTTGTTAGAACTCCAGCTGCTCGCACTAGCAGTCGCAGTAGCAACAACGCAGCAGATACCATGCGACTAATGGGGGCCTCTTGTTGCTGGCCAAGCAGCGCGTCCAGTGTAAGCTATGTGCAGCCGCTTGCACGTATTCAGCAACGGCTGACGCAGCTACAACAGCACCATGCGGATCAGGCACAGCACACGCAACAGCAGCAGTACCAAGGCCCAGTTGAAGGAGATTCTGTCTTAGCCGAGTTGGACCCAGCGCCACTAGACAAGCTGCCTTCTCACTGCAGCACAACTACGGCGAACTCATCACTAGGAGCAGCAGCGCCAGCAATGTTTGCACAATCATCGCAAGCACATATCGTTGCTTCGACCCCTGCAACGAAAGGTTCTTCCGGTGCTTCACATACTTCTGAGATGCAGGCGTCTGTTGACCTTGAAGACGCCGAAGCGACGTCGGCGAAGTTGGCTGAGTCAGGAACATTGCGAGGGCCAGCGAAGGCAGCATCATTAGCGGCACCAGCAGCAACACAGAAAAGCGCTCAACGCCTGCCTCCGGCTGCTGCACCTATTACAGCTGACGTCAGGCCGTCATGCTACCTCACTGACTCTCAGGCAAGCAATACCATAAAGGGGGCAGCATCTAAGACGGCGTCCTCCACTACAAAGGCCCGCACTGTTGTTATCCCCCGGGTGTACCTGGAGAGCAACTCAGGCTGTTATGTAGCGACCGCCTTTGATTCTGTGGGGCAGCGCCTGGTTCAAAAGCGCTTCTGCTGCACAGTGCTAGGGGAACAACGAGCGCATGCGCTCGCTTGCCAGTGGCTCAGGTGGGTGAGCAAGGGTGCTTCAACGGCAACGGTGAAGGCGCGGATTCAAAACACTGCTTCGGGCTTACAAGCGGCCCCCTCTGCTGTTGGTGCCGCACCTCCTTCCTCCCCTCTGCTAGCAGATGGGCCTGCCACAGTACCTGCATCAGCAGCATCACCAGGGCGCAGAGCAGCAACTGGTGGGGTTTGGGGAGTGCGTCGTGGGTCTCATCGGGTTGACAGTTTTCCCCCGCATCACGAGCGGCAGCTCAAGCGACGTCGACGCTGCGGGGAGGCTTTAGACGGGAGCGACCGCGACGAAGGGTCACATCCTAGTCAGCGGTTTTCGGCTGCTGCTGCCCAGGGGCAGCAGACGGAGGAGGTGTAGTTGTGTAATGCGCGTTGCTTGGGAGCTTCATCTGTCGCTAAACTCACGCACAACGCTTTTGCAGTTGCAAACAATTGAAGGCTGTGTCCCAACTAAGCCATATGGAGGGTGTGACAGGTTGGGTGATGGAGAGCTCGATACGCAAGCTGTGAAGGACGATGAGTAGTTAAGCCATCCAGAGATATTGCGTTTCGTTAGGAGTTGGCACTCTCACCACCCCCTTGTGTATTGGACAGTTGTGCGGCTCATGCGTTCTTTGTAAACACGTATTTGCTCGAAAACCTTGAGGAGTTTGACGCTGTTGTTGCTGGCGTCTTGATGTCAGCAGTAACACATGAATTTTACACCCTGTTCTGATTGTTGGCAGATGCTTGAGCCAGCCATCGCGACTTGTAGAAGACAGAGGAGCACAACAGGCCCCAGTGAGCCCAGCCCTCTGCTGAAGGGGGCGGGCCTTGTCGATTGAGATTGCACTTAGTACAGAAGGAAATTCGTGCGTGAGCGTTCGGCTGTTCTACCTTAGAGTATGTGGTTCGGCCGGGTGACGTTGGATGCGGTGGCAGAGACGACGGTTCCTCGTACGTGCCATGGGTTGAGGCCACAACGCAGTGAGAGGTTGAAGATATCCCCTTTCTACATCATGTTGCAGGTGTAGTATGCAGGCACCAACATGCGTCTAGCCACTTCCCTTCCATGGCTATATCTATGCAGGCGCCCACTTGGGTCTCGTCACTGCCCTTCCAAGGCTACTTCTCGCTCCATGATATGCTGCGCGCTAGTTGGCCCGCACGGAACTAGCAGAGCTGGCACTTCGCTAAGTTGGCGAAGATCCACGGATAATGGCATTCGCATGTTGACCTATTGGCATGTACCGGTGGACTTGAGCCTACTGTACAGTTCGCAGGCATCTGCAATGCCAGGTTAACTGGACCTGGATACTGTGGAATCAGCAGCTGCACCGCCGACCTTTGGTGGTGGACCACCTGGCCCTGTGTTTGCAAGACAAACTGCGAGCTCAGTACAATGGGTGCGCTGCAGCATGAACATATCGGACATCTGACACCTGCATTGGAAGTCTTGTGAACCCCAAGCTGGTTTAGGCTGTACTGGCGGCAGTGAGGACTCGTGTGCTTCTTGTGTGCTGTGTGCGAGAGGCTCTGCCACAGACAAGCAAGGGAGTGTGCCTTTTGGCAGGGAAGATGACAACACAATTGTTCTCGAAGTATCCTTTGTCGCATTAAATCGTAAACAGTTTCTGCATGCCACCCGAACCTTCCATCGGTGCACATAGGACAACACCTGACAACTGAAATTGTCTAGGAGACGTAACGGTGAGGGAATCATCGTGCAGGAGTGTCGCTGGCCACAGCTGTTGTGCTTAGGCAAGCTCGAATGCCTCAATGGACAGCCTGCTTCCCTAAAAAGCTGCGTGCGAGACAGCACACGGTTGGAGTACGTTCTTGTGCAGTATAGAACTACCCCTTGTATGTGTCATATGTGTCAACATAGTTCCAAAATTGTGAAGTTTCAAAGTTGAATCCCCCAGACTTTAAATTTAATGTGTGTACATGTCCATGTGCACAAGGCGAAGTGCATGCGAGGCTATGATTCTTGCCATTTGTCTTCCTTGTACAGCACTCGAAGCAACGCGTGAACACAACTGACTATTGTAGATGATATTGCGTTGCTAGCGTGCACAACAATTGAGCACACCTGTAGGGGGAGGAACGTTGCTGCGGTTGTCGCAACGTGGCATGGTCTCCTGTCTGCAACATAAGTTGTTTCTTTCTGGAAATGCATGCTTTGTTCGGTCCCTAGGAAACGGGCGCCTAGACGGTTTTGATAGAAGTACGCCGGTACCCTCCACGGGAAGTAAATTTTTGTTATAACAAAACGTTGAATGAAAGCCGCACATGCTGATATATTGGCATGCGGAAGGCAAATCTCCTTTAGTGCCGTCTGCATTTCTAGTCACCACGGTCTCAAAACAGTTCTTCACAGCCTAGTGCTTTCCAGTACTGCTCTTAGTAAGTCAAGGCTATCCTGCAACGTGAAGGCAGCATTAGCGAGACGTTGCAATTGACGCATTTTCAGGCCTCCTTTTTGCAGTAGTAGACGGGCTTCTTTGAGAAGCCTTCTGCAGACCATTATTTCCTTCTGTACTGCCTTCTGAGCGTTTGAGTCCGCGCCGTATGCTAACTGCGTTAACCATGTTTTGACTCTGAAAGTCGCCGTACCCAGGTTATCCAATAACTCCCGGACGATTTCTGCTGGGCTAGGCAGTTTAAGGGCAGCTCCCAAAATAGAATATGATGACAGCAAAGCTGTAGCTTCGGCTGTTGACTCTTTTACTGCATCCAGCAAGGCATCAAGCATCCGAGCAGCAGCATGCTGTTTTTCTGATCGTAGGTTTTCACGCATAGACCCTGTACTCGCAATTAATGGCTTCGCCATGGCTTCGAATTTCATGAGTTCGCCTCGTGCTTGGTCAGACACTGCCTCTCTGAATAAAACTGATTGCCGCCTGATCCTCTGATCGGCCAGAGCTAAGACCAACATCCGGACAGCAACTTTACTTCTTTGTTCTTCGTGGTGACGGCCCCTCTGGACAGGCTGGGATTCTTCCGTCGGCCCACCATGACTTAGAACCCACTCCTGTGCTGCAAGCATTGCAGCGTCGGCTAGAGCACAAAGCTCCTCAACTTCTAACTCTGAAGATGTGGTTTGTGCTTCTTCGCGTGCGACGTCGACTTGTACAGTTAGCGCCTGCACTACTTCACCCACAAGCCACCGGGCTGATGTCGTATTCTCCTCACCACCACTCGAAAAAACTTCATCTGCAGTCTGCACAGACTTCTCAAGAATAGACGTTAGCGTCTTGAGCTTGACTGATTGCTTTTTGGGGTCATTCGTCTTCGGCTGACGCTTTCGGCTATCGGGTTTCGTTTGCGCCTCTGGTTTGATCCCAGCTACGCCAGTTTGATGCGTCATTCCAGCGGTAAGCTTGCTGGGATCGATGTCATACAACAACCCCGTGGGCCAACGATATGTTGGCACTTCGTCCTCATCAGGATCTTCCTCTCTGGAGAGTCTGGGATATCGGGGTGCTTTGGGGGCTCGGGGAACTGTGCGCGCCACATACTCTTCTTCCTCCTCTGGGGGCGGCAGTATAGGACGGGGGGGCTCCAGATGCTTAGTCTTTGCTTTTCGCTTTCCTGAAACGCGAGACGGTCCTGGGGCAGGCTCTCCCGTAGCAGGTGATTCCGGGTATTTTGGACTCATTGCCCCCTTTTCAACTTCATCTGGGGTGGGCGTTGACACGCTGGTCTCTCGTCTTTCATCCTGACTGTCCTCTGAGCTTCCTCCCACTTCCATCGGCTCGTCCTGCTTCTTCTGAATCTCTCCTCTTTCTGCCTCATCTATTGACTCTCCATGCTGCTGCTCCGCCTCTCCCGCTGCTGTCTCTCCCATTGACTCTCCCTGCTGCTGTAGTTTCCTCTCCTCCACTGTTGCCCCACCCAGTGGCTCTACCCTCTGCTTCTCCCCCTCTTTTCCTGCTGCCTCTAACAGTGACTCACCTTCACGCTCCTGCCCCTCTCCCCCTGTTTCCATTGGCACCCCATGCTCATCCTGGTGAGAATGTATACTCTCTGCCCGCTCGGGTTGGTGTGAAGGCGGCAGCCCAGAGCATAAGCCATCGTCACCACCATTTCCCTGAAGCCCAGCCAACCGCCTCCGCGCGCCATTTTGCACAGGTTGTTGATCGATGGCCCGGCGGATGCAAGAGATGATGAGAAATGATACTGCGAGTGCAATGGATGCCGCACGTATCCAATGCAGAGCACCTTGTGTTCGCATGGATCTCTCTGCAGTCCTGCTGTTCTTTCTACTGTCGTACACCGCAGCCTGCAAGAAGCGCACCTCTCCCTCCTCAATCCTTACGAGTTCAGGCTGCTGCTTGATCATGGCTGGTCCTCCCTGGTGCTTCTTCTTGACAGAATGAAGGTGTGCCACGGGCTAGTTTTTGCTTTGGATAAGGTGCCACTTTAGAGGTTGGAGGAGCATCAGTAAATCCTGCAACAAGAGTCCCCAATGCCGTACAAGGAATTTCGCGATTTAAGGTGGATGCACACAAGAGTTGCATAAAACCTGTTGGGGCAACTCTCTGGGCCTCTTAAGCTATGAAGCGTCCACGCCTGGAAACGCGGGAGACAAGGTTGATCACTTTGAGCTGAGTTACAACGCACCTTGCTGCACGTCAAAGCACAAAGAAACCCCACATGCAAGCACAACAAAGGCATCTAGGGTGCTTGAACTGACTCTGTTGGCAATAGAACAAAACAGTTATGTTTGCTTGAATACTGCCTACTAAGGACTAGTAGCAGTTTTGTGGCCACCTTCACACAACCTTAACAACGTGGGACACTCTGTGCTGCTTGTACCTCCCTTCCCGCACACTCCACACTCTGTCACGTGCCCATATGGCTGATGAATGTGGTTACAGTGCCTGGCGATACCTTGTTTCGGCTGCTCAGCGGCGATGTCCTTCAACTGCTTCTTGTGCTTCTCTCACTCCTCGTTCGGCAGCACCGCCCCAAGCGTCTTGGCAACGAGTTGTTCGTCGATTAGGCGGAGCACCTGCTTATGCAGAGGATGCACAGGAGAGACATTCAAGGGGATACTATCGGAGTTCAGTGCTGTGTTTGCAAGCGAGAGGTACCTTGACACGGTTACTGACACTGTACCGGACACATCCACTACGAATATGTATCATTCGTACTGACGAACTTGACGATGGTGTATCTGATAAATTGGTGAGAGGTGTTTACAGAAGAATTCTTCTGGACGTGCAGCCCTTTTTGACACCAGAGCGCCCCTTGAAGAGCTTTCTGTTTCTTCTTGTTGCTTGGTCTGCTCCGTTTTCTTCGTCCAGTGCTCTGGAAGTCAAAATTCGACAGAACAGTTAATGTTGTCTGTCTCCTTTTGTGATAGTGAAACTTCAATCGTGATATCACTGGCCGTCGTCCTAGGGTGAACAGACCAAAAGTAGTGCTGAACTGGAGGAACTGGAGGAATAAGCCCGTGTTCAGCTCTTTAGGGTGCTTCTGACATGCATAACAGCACGCACCCCCACCAATAGCCTTTGCCTACCATAGGCAGCCTCTTGCCGTCGGAGAGAGATACAGGGTCGTCGACCGTCTAATGCGACACCATGTCACATGTTAGGGGCGAAACACCGCCACCCTTCTCCTGAGGTCTGGGGTGCCTGCATCAACGAAAACTCGGCACAGGCCCCATTTCCGGTTGAACTCACTTGGATTTTCCTGTTTCAGCTCCTGCACTCCCTACAGCGGCTAGCAAGGACTAGGTTGCTTTGCGTGTTGCAGCTGCTGTACCTCCTGCAACATGCACAATCACTCAATGCATGGCGTGGCAGGGAGCACGGAGTCTTCTCAGAAGCCCAAATGTGTGAAGTTTAGTCCCTGGTATGACAATAGTAGGATTGTGGGTCGGTGCGCTGGAATTATTGTGGGCAAAAGAACTGAAAGCAGATATTTCGTTGGCTCCCCAGAGAAGAGAGACTGCGGAATGTGAGCATCGCATGAGTCATGGCATAGCGTGCCTATAGGGTTTTCAAACAGGGCCCTCGCTCTCCACTGTGCAGTTCTATGCTTGCAGTGGCTGCTAACCAGTCAAGGATTGCCTGTAAATGCCAAAGAGAACTTCTCCGGCGCAAGTGGTCCAAAGACGTCACTTTGAGTGTCTTGCCGGTTGATACTGAACGTAATACTCTTGTTTTCTGTGGCCTCTGCGAGCTGCCCCAAGTGTGTTTAGGATATCACGCTCCTCCAGTTGTGGTCCCTCGTAATGGGGTGACTGACACTTTTCATGTAGGCTTCGGCGATTACTCAGTGACTCCTCCTACTATTTAGGTAGCTACCATAAGTGGTATTTTCGCACCTCCGATTTGAGTTCAAATGGAAGACGTGAGGCATGGGGTTGACCGGAGGACAACCAGCCCAATGCTCTACCTGCTGCTCTGGGAGTTTATTTAGCTAATCCTCGCCCCGCGTTCACCAGAGAGCGTGCGGATCCATAAGAGCCAGTTGGCGCTTGTTAACCAGAGCTTCGGAATGCCGCTTGTCGCACTTTCTTGACCGGAGTTCTTCTTCATGCACTCGCGAGCTGCTGCGAGCTGCTTGTGGACATCTGACATTTGATCCTTCGGATACACTAGGCTGGCTTATATTAGCCAGTTCTTAAAGCAAGCATGGGAGACGTTATCTCGGTGTACGCTAGCGATGCTAGGGAGAAACGAGTGCGCTGTGGTATTACAGGCCCATTCCGCACAATTGGAGAAAACAAGCCATCCCCCCGAATCTTGCTGGGTATTAAGAATCAAATATTGAATTACTTTGCTGTATGTGGATCCCATTCAACTGTTGGCTTTCGCATAGCTTGCGGTGGGCTTGCTATGGTTGATGCTGAACCAACCTGTCGCTCCAGCATGCGCTCACCAACGACAGCTGGTTGTCTGTGATGATACAAACACGGACAACCTGTAAGCTTCGACTTGGGCCACTCTCTCTGCTGTAACCGAACTAGAAAGAGGATTCAGTTGGCATACGTGGTTAGCTCATTCACGACTGCGTAGATGCTGCCGTGATTAACAACTGCTGGACAGGGAGTATGCAACCCCCTTAGATATGCACCCACACCGTTTGTGGCCCAGAAATCCCTGGAAGAGTCCGGACGTGAGCGTGCTTTGGTGCTTTTTCTGCTGACATTCCGCGCACGTGCGAACGTATTTAGTTGTCAATAAGAGCTTCCTAGGCCGCCAAAAAGACCTGGCAACCGCCTCCAATGTTTTTATTCGCTATTGAAGGATGATTGTGCATTTTGCGCGAAAATTTCTGTGCGACACAGAGGTGGGCCGTCCCATCGGCGAGGTCCACGTTGTTTGTGAAGCTACACGAACCCCTCTTCGAAGGCTCAGTAGTGCGTCGCCGGTGGCCCGTTGCTGAGTTTAGCGACGATGGCAGCTGCAAAACTAAGTAGAATGACCTCAATTCTGAACGGAATCACCACACATATGCAGAGTCGCAGAATGCATTGCTTTGAAGGCAGGGAGTCGCAATTGCGCGTCAACCGCCGGTTGGTACAGTGATGGTCATAATAATTTTCAACCTTAACTTGTACTGCGTTGGCCGGCAAAACAACCGAACAACCGCTTTTATGTTGTAGTTTAGAAGACACTCCATCAGATGAGTCAGGGGTGAATTCTGGGCTTACACAGCGAGCAGCCTAACATAAAAATAGTGCCAGCACATTTGTACTCCCCACAAGACGGCGCGTAACGCAGGGCGCTTTGTATCGTACTTGGTGCTGTTGCTCTCTGTCCGTGGGCTGGCGCATTTGCACAACCACAAGCTAGTTTAAGGCACACCGAAAGAAAGCGTTTCTGCATCCACAGTCTTATGTTTCTCAAGTAGAAGTTGTAGGGTTCGCTGTAGATTCTGTATATTTGGCCCGCGTTCAACGTAAGCATGCCATCCACACAGAGAACCATCCAACTGTCATCATGGGGTCCCTGGTGTTTGCTGATTGGTCGATATGCTCCTCTTGCAACCCTTCTGAACAGCTTTTTTCTCCAGCCCCCATCTCGAATGCTGTGGTTTTGCCTGCTATAACGGGAGCTGGTGATCCGTTGGGCACGTCCTGAAGGATTTCCTCACGCTCCCCCGGTTACTGACTAGTTCCGCGTTGAGTCCCTCTCTGCTTGGGGCTTGTATTCAAGGCCTGAATGTCAACAGGCTCAATATCCATACTCAACTTTGTCATAGCCTGTTGCCGTCTCTACGTACGAATGCCTCTACACCGCAGCGCACGGGGGATAGTCTCCATAGACTGGATGTACTCCGGAAAAATCGTTCCGCTGCTTAGATACAACCACGGTTATCGTGCCTTCCTTTTTAATAACAAACCTATCAATAGCCGCCGTAGTTTTTCTGGTGCTTGCTGGAGACAAAGTTCCACATAGCCAAGAGATTCCACCAATGCCAGCGTAGTGCGGCAACCACCGTGTATTAGATGTAAGAACATTTTCAACATCTCGACGGCTGGCACAGGCGAAGGCAGTCTTCACGATTTGCTTTGGTGTAAGAATATTTTCCACCAAATGGGATGCAGAGTATGCGGTAAAATTAAGTCGATGATTTCCCAAACGATTGGTTCCCTCCTCATCACGCGAGCAGTCCCTTACACGTCACTGTGCAAGAGGAGCACAGCCTCATACTGGACAGAGCTTTTAAGAGAGTTCGCAACACTTTCTATATATGCTTACGTGCTGAGCACATTCAGTACTACTAATAGTTATGCAACAGTCAGTCGTGCAGTGATTGTGAGGCTCGTTTGTCACTCCTGCAACCCGTCAACCATGTGGTGCGGCTCACCGTAACGCCGGTCGTGGGTCTTTCACCCGAGCCATTGTGATATTCAGTGGAGTCAAAATGCTGAAATCTCTTCTCCCAATGCAACTGATCTCCCTTCCCAGTGTCCAGGCAACCTGAGCGGACCCCAAGACGGCCCCACAAACAAGCACAAGGAAATATTCGTCACTGTGTGCATGAACACCCTAAAAAAGTGTTGAAGACTTTTGCTTGCGGACCTTCTGTCTACCAGAGCCGGGGAAGCCACTTCTGACAGGATTGTCAACATCGCAGACTATGCTATGCTATGTACAAGCACTGTCGACAGTTGTTGAAGACTTTTGCTTGCATACACTAGTGCCGAGTAAGGGTTAGGGTTACCCACTTTAGACACACTCTCCAGCATTGCACTGTGCCCCCATGCAACTGTCTGGATGAACTCCACACATAACACCAGGCATTTCAGCTGCTGAATTGGTTGTTGACGAAGCAATGGAAGATGCCACAAGAACCACATGAATGAGATCTAGTACATTCGAAACTCCCAAACAGGATGCAAGCAATTGTTTGTTTGCATACAATGGGTGTTGATGGCTGGAGCTCCTGCAACAGCAGAGGCGACGAAGCGACTAACCAGCGTAACCTAGTTCCACTACCCTCCACGAGAAAGAAAAGCTAGTTGATAAAAGAAGATTACGTGCAAAAAAGCACAGTATCTCCAGAGACCAAATATATCCGCATAGAAGGTCCCTCAACACTTGCAATCAGCAGTGGTGACGCACAAAATGCACCTTCAATAGTTTTCGGGGATATGCATTGGCATTCCGTATCCTTCAGACCTTTGCTTAGTATTAGCTATTGCATTTAACTGTATGAATAGTATGAGCATGCTCTCGTCGATAGACCAAATAGCAGCATAAGAGTTCTTGATGGAGCTGCTGCCCCACCGAATCAAAGACATCTGCCGAATAGCATTCAAATGTGCCATCTACTAGAGGACACAATACGAATAGTTGACGAATAGAATTTCGTAGGAGGCAAAGATGATAAAAGCCTCTCGAAAGGGCGTCAATTGCCACGACTGAAGTGGTCAAACGAATTCGAATGCTGCACTGGACCACTGACGTGCCCTGTGACCTGAACGCAAGACTGCAGATGCTTCCTGCATCTTCCTATGCATCAAAGTACTACCCCTTGTATGTGTCAGTGCACTTAAAAGCCGAATGCCACAGCCTCTGTGCACGAATATGTTCATCGGCACGTGGCGAATCGCGTGCACGATGCTGGTGTCCCATTTTGCTTACTTATGTAACGATAAAAACAACGGGAGAATAAAGCGACCTCCCACAAACGCCAATGTGGTGCTAATTAGCACAATAATTAAACGTTCCTGATGTGGTGACAAGAGTGCTGCTGCTGCCGTTGCAGCACGGCTTCGTCTTTCTGTCATAGGACTGATTTATTGCTGAATGTACACACAATTTCAGAACTTCTGCTTATAGAAGAAGGCTTGATGTGGGACACAAGGTCCGCCGTTACTCTCCATTAAGGGAACTACATTTGTGCTGACAAAACAACTGGGAAACGCATTTCATGCTGATAAATCGGAAGTCTTCCTTCCAACATCGCTAAACCCGCAGCCGCCACGGGTGTCCTGCACCCCAAACTCTTCAGTTGCCTCGGTCTCAAAACAGGAGTTCTTTATGATTTTGCACTGTCCAGCACTGTCTGCAGTAGCTCAATCTTCTCCTGCAACGCGAAGGCAGGATCAGTAAGACTTCCCATGACCACATCGTTATACTGCATTGCTTCTTGGACTTCGGCGAGAAGTTTTTTGCTGTCATTTACTTGTTCCTGTGCAGCCCTCAGTGTGTAATGGTCTGCGCCTGCTTCCAACTGCTTTAGCAACCCATCAATTCTCGCCTCTGCGTCAGCGAAGTCATCTAAGGCACTCCGGACGAGTTCTTCTGGGGTAGGTGGCTTAAAGACCTCCCTGAAACTATCATAAGTTAACACCAAACTCTCAGCTTGGGTTTTAGCTTCTTTAACTAAATTCAGTAGTTCACGGACCATAACAGCAGCAGCATGCTGCTTTTGTGACCTGAGGTCTTCAAGCATTGATTCTGTGCTTGAGATTAACGACACAGCCATTTTTGCAAATTTTTCGAGTTCGTCTCGTGCTTTCTGGGATGCTTCACGGTTGATTAGATCTGCCTGCCTTCTGAGTCTATCTTGGGCCAGGGTCAAGACCATCATCCGGACAGCAACTGGACTCCTGTCGCCTTCGCGTTGACCAGGTCCCGTCGCAGGCTGGACCTCACCCGCTAGTCCACCATGATTAGCAACCCAATCCCGTGCTACAAGTACTGCAGCTTCTGCCATGACACAAAGGTCCTCTACTACCGGCTCTGTAGACGTATTTTGTGATTCTTTTCGTGCGACTTCGACTTGTACGCTAAGTGCCTGCACTACTTCACCCACAAGCCAGGAGGCTGATGCCACACTCTCCTCATCACCATTCGAAGCAACTTTATCTGCAGTCTGCACAGACTTCTCAAGAATAGATAATAGCGTTCTTAGTTTGATTGACTGCTGTCTGGGGTCCGGCTTCTTTTCGGGCGGGCGCGCACCATCGCTCTTCGGTTTCGTCTCTGGCTTGATCCCAGCTACGCCAGTTTGCTGCGTCATTCCAGCGGTAAGCTTGCTGGGATCGATGTTGTACAACAACCCCGTGGGCCACTTATAAGTTGGCGATGGTTCTTCATCAGTGTCACTATCTTCGCTGGGCATTTGGCGAAGTAGTAGAGCTGTGGGAACACTGGGAACTCGGGGATCGTCATACTCTTCCCCTTCATCTGGAGGCTGCACTACAGGAGGAGATTCCAAATGTTTGGTCTTTGCTTTTTTCTTCCCACCCGAAGGCCCTGGGACAGGCACTCCCGTAGCAGATGATACGGAAACTTCCGGGCCTTTAGGGGTCACTGCTCCTCCTTTCACTTCATCTGCGGCAGACGTTGGCACGTTGCTCTCTTGTTTTCCATCCGGACTGCTCTGTGCACACGCTGTCACGCCCACCAGATCTCCCCGCTGCTGCGTTTCCTTCCCTTCTACTCTTCCCATTGATTCTCCCTGCTGCTGCTGTCCCTCACCCATTGCTTTTCCTGCCACTGACATTCCCTCCTGCTGCTGTTCCTCGCCCACTGGTGCCACTCCAACAGACTCACCTTGCTGCTGCTGCCCGTCCCCCACTGTTTCTCCTCCCACTAAGTCACTCGGTTGCGGGTTTTGCTCTCCCACTGCTGCTTCTTCCATTAACTCTCCCTGCTGTTGCTGCCCCCCTCCCATAACGGCTCCTCCCAATGGTCCTTCCTGCTGCTGTTGCCCGTCTCCTCCTGCCTCTGTCGGCACCTCCTGTTCACTCTGTGCAGGGCTCGCCACATGGGAATCACCTGAAAATAGCTTTTCAAGACACAAGCTTTCATCTTCTTCATCTCCTTCGCTACCAGCCAACCGCCTCCATGCGTACGTCTGCACCGCACGAGGTCTGGGGCCTCGGACACAGGAGATTATAAGAAATGTTACTGCGAATGCAATTAATGTCACGATCATCCATCGCAGAACACTCTGGGTCCCTCCCGATCTCCTCCTTGCAGTCCTGGTGTCCTTCCCACTTATTTCTACTGTAGGGCGCAAGAAACCAACCCCCGCCTCCTCAACCCCTGCCAATGCAGATGCTTGCTGCATGCTCATGGCTGTCTCTACGTGCTCTGTTCGTCGTGGGGAAGGAGTTTGCCACAGAATAATCGTTGGATTGTGGGAGGGGCCACTGGAGAGGATGTAGGAGCGACAGGCAACCTATATCAGGACTCCTCGATGTGATCAAAGGATTGTCGGGGGCTGCAGTTGAATGAAAATTGATAGAAGAGTCCCTTAAAATCAGATGATCTCCCTCTCCAGTCTCCTGCCCTCCTGGGCACGACGGCCCAAGTGCCTCGAGCCGCGGGAGAGTCTACTCGTGCCAGGCAGCACAACCACGCCTCCAGTACTACAAGTACCAACGCAGCAAAGTACTGAAGACTTGTGTTTGGTAGGAGATTACATACTAGGGCCGCGCAAGATGGGAGCGTTCATATCCCAACTTCAGACAGTCTTGTAACTTCGAGCAGATTGTGGTACAGGTATGCTCAACGTGGCTGCTTCGAGCAGATGATATTACAGTGAGGGTTAAAGTCATCAACCCAAAACTCCTTTTGGACATGATCACAAACTGCATGTAGGTAGAAAAAGCCTACTTAGTTATCAGCATCGAGCCTGAAAGCAAGCAGAAGTAGTCGTTCCTGCTTCTCCCCTGCAGTGGGGCCGATGTTTCAATGTCCGCAGCGGCTGCTACACAAGTTCGTGACGATCCTCAACGCCATTCAGTTGTCTCAAAAATATTCCAGTAATGTATAGATTTTTAGCTCTCTACTAGGTTCGCGTCAAATCTGACGAGCGAAAACTTTGTGAACGCCCATTGTCGTCTGCACAATGAGCGTACCCAGTAGCATTAGCGCCGAAGAGATACCGGTGCCTAAGGAGAAGATAACTCTGCTGCTAAGTGGCACTTGAACACCACACCTTTGGCTCAAATGAATGCATGGTTTCATTTATACACTATTTGTACAATTCATACGCATTTAGAAATATCACGCTCTACGCTTATGCTGGCACCAAGGTCGAGGCTTTTCTGCAGAACACTGACCCTGCCACACCATTAAGACTATAGAATCGGTTGTTGGGGAGGCACAGGAAGGAGCAACAAGAGCATATACTGTGTACACAAGGAACGCTTATGTAGAGCTTAAGAAATTGGATTTTTGCGCCTGCATGGTGCTCACAGGGCCCCAACCCTTGAAGCATCCCGATCGGACGGCGCAACTTCCGATTACCGCATAATTCCATCAAGCAGAAAGAGAAGAGAAAAGTACTCGACAATCAAAGATCCAGAGTGGTGGAAGTTGACGCATACGGATACAAAATGTAGTCCACCACAGGCGCTGTCTCGAACCAGCATTTGCAATAAGCACCTGCGGCCTGTGAAAAACTTCCAAAGTATTTGGCCATAACTGCACCAGCTCTGCTTCCCCTACCAAATTTCTGCTAATAGTAGCTACCCCTATTATTTGTACGACTAGCAGGTATTTGCTCTTCCACCACACCAATGAAACACTCTGCTAAGAGAGGTGCAAACGACATGCAGTCACTGCAGGTTAGAGCTGCTCCTCAGGCGTTCCTTCCTGCACCCAGCAGTAAGATAGCGAGGCAACCACACGCCATGATTAACTCAACAGCGCCTTAGTCGACAAAAGTTAGCGTTCCTCCCGAATATATAGAATGCGCAGATAGTGGAAGCTTTCGATGTCTGGTGCTGGGCATGGAGCCACACAGCGGCAAGGGTAGCACAGCAGAAACACACGCAAACGCCCAAGAAAGTCGCTTCTCCAGTAGAAACTGTGGTGGTAGATCTTTTCTAACCACAATTTTTCATTTATGCTGTGTCTTCGACAGTTGGCCGGTTTCCTAGGCATTCCGGTCACCGCTTTGCGAGCAGGTGCTATTTCTACCCCTGCGACTACACCTGATGACGGCACCTGCGCCAAATGATTTCCTACTATCATCGACGTAGATATTTGTCGGCTTGGTACGAGTTGAATGGAGTGCTTCACCTCATGCCCTTGACGGGAGTAAATGAGAGCAGTGTGTGGCAGTGTTGTCATGTGTTGTGTCACACGGCCACGTTCCTTGGGCTGCTTATGCTTCGGCCCGCGTAGTGCTGGAAGCGGCCGCCTGGCTTTGCTAGTGGCAGCGGAACATTAGCCTCCCCTCAAGCAATGTAGTATGGGGAAAGATTTGTCACCGGTGGCACAAACTGAAACGAATGAGCGGCGCGTGGATGACGGTATCCCATCTATACTAACTTGCAGCTGTAATTTTCAGGTGTCTCCAAGTGTTTTGGTAGTGTACTGGAGCCAACAATTTACCCAGCACTATGGTATTCCATGCAAGTGACCCTGCACGGCGGCAACATGAACGGCCATCCGCTGAGCCGCCGAAGACACAGAAATAATCATTTGAGCTTGGCACGTTGGTTTAAGAATATGTATGGCTGCGCCTGGGCCTCCTGTTCAATTCACGTCCTCTAACCGTGCCCAGTTAATTCTCGCCTAAGCTAATTGAAGGCAGACGAACAACCAGCCGCCTCTCAGCTTTGGGTCGGTATACCGCCTGCTCCTTTCTTGACGACAACAGCTTCCGCCTCAGTCCATATTGGGTGCGTTGTAGCAGTAGCTTCTGCATGGAAAGCTTTTAAACCCGGAGAGTGGGTTCAGTGGGTTCAGCTGCACCCGCGGCAGTGAAGACTCCTGCGCCTCTTCTGGGCTCCTTTTCCGCGGCTCGTATCTCAAGTGCTACTTGCAAGACAGCGCATACACACGTCAACGGGATAATTAGCAACGTAAGCTTTCTTGACGGATATGGTGCCTTATGGAACCAAAAGCATTTTCCCAATTGCATACCAGCCTGCCATCTACAACGCAACAAAAATTGTTGACGAATGAATTTCGTAGGTGACTTATCGGGGTTGAAAGTCTCTCAAAAGGGCGTCTGACGTGCGTAAACAAATTAGAATGCCGCACTGGACCACCGACTTGCCCAATAAACTGAACATAAGATAGGCGGTGCTTCGAGCACCTTCTTATGCAGCATAGTACTACCCCTTTTATGTCCCATTGAATTTAAAAGCCAGATGTCCCAGTTTCTATGCATATATAGGTTCACCTGCACGTAGCGAATCGCGTGCGCGACTCCGATGTGCCATTTGGCTTACTTCTGTAACAATAAAAACAACGCGGGCATACACCCACCTTTCGCAGACATCCATATGGTGGTAAGTAGCATAACAATCAAATGTGCCTGATAGGGCGACATCAGTGCTGCTGCTGTAGCAGCACGGCCCCACCCTGCTGCCACAGGACTTAATTCTGTACGTTCAGAAAGCGATGAACAATATCAGAGCTTCTGTGTATAGAATGGGGTTTGATAAGGGACAGAAGGACCAGACCGTCGTTTATATCCTTTAAGGGAACAATATTTGTGCTGACAAAAGAAGCGGAAAACGCCTCGCATGCTGATACATCGGAACCCGTTCTTCCATCAGCACTCAAACCGAAGCCCAAACGGATGTACTGCACCCCAAGTTTTCCAGTTGCCTCCGTCGCAAAATAGACAAGGTTTATAATTTGGCGCTCTCCAACACCGCCTCCAGTAAGTCAACCTTATCCTGCAATATGAAAGCAGGATCGGTGAGACGTTGCGTTTGCCAACCTCCGCTCTGTAATGCTTGATTAACCTCGAAGAGGAGGCTTCTGCAGGCCTGTACTTCTTCCTGTGCTTCCCTCTGTACGTTTGAATCTGCGCCGGCTTCTAACCGCGCTAGCAACGCTTCAACTCTAGTTGTTGCCACGCCCAGGCTATCCATTAGGTCCTGGACGGCCTCTTCTGTGCCAAGCAGCACAAGAGGAACTGCGGCCGCAAGCTTATGGGACAATAGCACAGCTTCAGCTTCGCCTTTGGATCGTTTTAATTCACCCAATAGTTTACAGACCATCTGAGCAGCAGCATGCTGCTTTTCTAAGCGGAGGCTTTTAAGCATAGACTCTGTACTCGCAACTAACGGCTTCGCCATTGTTACAACTCTATTGACTTCGGCAACGTTTTGATCAGATAATCTTGCTCTGAGTGCACTGGATTGCTTCCGAATCTGTTCAGCAGCCAGGGTCAGCACCAGCAATCGTACGGCAACTTGGCTTCTCTCTTCTTCGTGACGACGACCCTCCTTAACAACACGGGCCTCTGTCACTGTTCCGCCATGACTCGAAATCCATTCCTCTGCTACAAGCCTTGCGGCTTCTGCCAGACCACAAAGCTCCTGAAGCTCTTCCTCTTGAGGCTCATCTTGTGCGCCTTCGCGTGCGACAGCGACTTGCACGGACAGCGCCTGGACTACTTCATTCAGAAGCCAGCAGGCTGATGCCACGTTCTCCTCGCCACCACTCGATGATACATCCTCTGCCAACCCCATAGATTCCTCAAGAATAGATACTAGCGTTTTGAGTTTGATGCGCTGGTGTTTGGGCCCCTTCTGCTTCGTTTGGTGCTGACGGGTGTCCTCGGGCTTGGGTTTCACCTCTGGCTTGCTGACCGTCGTAACCTTCCGCCGCTTTGGAGGTGGGGGGAAATTCTCAGGACGGGTGTCATACAACACACCCCTGGGCCAGCGATAAGTTGGCGTGTCGTCTTCGTCATCACCGTCAGAATCTTCATCCTGCCCGGAAGCTTGTGAAAATCTGCGAGAACTGCGACGCTTGCGGCCCGCTTGACCCCCATACTCATCCTCTTCCTCTAGGTGGGGCAATGGTTGACGAGGGGATTCCAGATGCTTGGTCTTTGCCTTCTTCTTTCCTGAAACACGCGACGGTCCCGGGGTGGGGTCTTCCGTAGCAGGTGATTCGGATGCATTAGGGGTTACTGCCTCTAATTTACCTTCATCTAGTGTGGTCGTTTGTACCTTGGCTCCTTGTTCCTCATCTAATGCAGGTGCTCCAGTTGACTCGACACTCTCCTGCTGCCCCTGTCCACTTGCTGCTCCTCCCACTGACTCTCCCGCCTGCTGTTGACCCACCCCCCCTGATGCCCCTCCAAGTGAATCACCCGCCTGCAGGCGTCCCTCTCCCATTGCTGCTCCTCCCAATGGTCCTTCCTGCTGCTGTTGGTCGTCTCCTCCTGCCTCCGTCGGCACCTCCTGTTCACCCTGTGGAGCGTGAGTACCTTCGGACTGATCTTGAAGCAGCTCTTTAGGGCACAAGTCATCTTTGTCATCATCTCCTTCGCTACCAGCCAACCGCCTCCATGCGTACGTCTGCACCGCACGAGGTCTGGGGCCTCGGACACAGGAGATTATAAGAAATGTTACTGCGAATGCAATTAATGTCACGATCATCCATCGCAGAACACTCTGGGTCCCTCCCGATCTCCTCCTTGCAGTCCTGGTGTCCTTCCCACTTATTTCTACTGTAGGGCGCAAGAAACCAACCCCCGCCTCCTCAACCCCTGCCAATGCAGATGCTTGCTGCATGCTCATGGCTGTCTCTACGTGCTCTGTCCGTCGTGTGGAAGGAGTTTGCCACAGAATAATCGTTGGATTGTGGGAGGGGCCACTGGAGAGGATGGAGGAGCGTCAGGCAATCTATATCAGGACTCCTCGACGCGATCAAAGGATTGTCGGGGGCTGCAGTTGAATAAAAATGGATAAAAGAGTCCCTTAAAATCAGATGATCTCCCTCTCCAGTCCCCTGCCCTCTTGGGCACGACGGCCCAAGTGCCTGGAGCCGCGGGAGAGTCTACTCGTGCCAGGCAGCACAACCACGCCTCCAGTACTACAAGTACCAACGCAGCAAAGTACTGAAGACTTGTGTTTGGTTGGAGATTACATACTAGGGCCGCGCAAGAAGGAAACGTTCATATCCCAACTTCAGACAGTCTTGTAACTCCGAGCAGAATATGGTACACGTATTGTCAATGTGGCTGCTTCGAGCAGATGATACTACAGTAAATCTACGGGCCATTCAACCAAAATTCAGCTCTGGACATGAGCACAAACTGCATGTAGGTGGAAAAAACCTACTTAGTTATCAGCATCCACCCTGAAAGCAAGCAGAAATAGTCGTTCATGCTTCTCCCCGGCTGTGGGGCCGATGTTTCAATGTCCGCGGCGGCTGCTTCCCAAATTATCGCGAAAGATCTCGGTGCCATTCAGTAGTCGCAAAAATTTTGCCTTTAAGAATAGAACTTTAAATCTGCTCTAGCTTACGTTTAAAGCTGGAAAGCGAAAGCTCCTTTAACCCCCGGTGTCATATGGGCACTAGGCGAACCAAGGCGATCTCCAGCGGCGCGCAGTGTCCCGTGCCCTGGGGAAGAACCCCCCAAGCCTTCTTGGGCGTTTGAACTTCCCATCCATTGTTCATATTAATGAATACTTTTATTTATAAACGATTTGAAGAATTTGTATGTATTTAGGGATATTAAGCTCTAGTTTTAGGCTTGTGCTGGCAGCAGAGTCGAGGTTCCTCTGCAGAGCATTCATCCCGCTACAGCATTAGAACTACCAAACGGGTTGCTGACAATGCACAGGAAGGAGCCACAAGAGCTAACAGGTTTACTTCTGTACATACAAAGGGCTTATGTAGAGCTTAAGAAATAGGAGTGTTGTGCCTACATGATGCTCACAGGGCCACAACCCCTGTGGCAGCCCGAGATGACGGGGCAATTTCCGATTACCACATGATTAGATCACCCAGAACGAAACGAGAAAGGCATTTAACGAGCAACATTCTAGCGTACAGGAGGTTGACGCTTATGGATACAAAATGTAGTCCCCCACAGGCGCTATCTCGAACCAGCATTTGCAATAAGCACCTGCGGCCTGTGAAAAACTTCTAAAGTATTTAGCGATAACTGCACCCCCTCTGCTTCCCCTACCAAGTTTGTGCTAATATTAGCTACCCCTATTATTTGTTCGACTAGCAGGTGTTTGCTCGTCCACTGCACCACTGAAACACTCTGCTAAGAGAGGTGCAAACGACTGCAAACGGCTTGCAGTCACTGCAGGTTAGAGCTGCTCCTCAGACGTTTCTTCCTGCACCCAGCAGTCAGATAGCGAGGTAACCACACGCCATGATTAACTCAACAGCGCCTTGGTAGACAAACTTCGCGTTCCTCCCGAATATATAGAATACGCAGATAGTGGAAGCTTTCGATGTCTGGTGCTGGGCCTGGAGCCACAGAACGGCAACGTAGCACAGCAGAAACACACGCAAATGACCAAGAAAGTCGCTTCTCCAGTAGGAACTGTGGTGGCAGGCCCTCCTAACCACCATTTTTGCATTTATGCTGTGTCTTCGACGGTTGGTCGGTTTCCTAGGCATGCCGGTCACCGCTTTGCGAGCAGGTGCTGCTTCTACCCTTGCGACTACAACTGATGGCGGCACCTCCGATAATGGATTTCTCAATATTATCGACTTGGGGATATAGCGGCAATGCGCTTTGAATGACGAGATTCAGCTTATGCAGTTGACGGGACTAACTGAGAGCAGCCGGTGGCAGTTTTGTCATGTGCTGTGCCACAAGGGCACGTTCCTTGTGCTGCTTATGCTTCGGCGCGCATAGTGCTGGAAGTGGCGGCCTGGGTCTATTACTGGCAGAGAGAAGGCAAGTATTGAAGGTTCACTGCTGCTTACATGCTGCTTACTACTCCCTTGTGGGTTTCGTGCGATAACTCCCGACAGAGCTGCCAACGTTGGGAAGAGTATATTACACCGGGCCCAAATAGTTAAGCAGAAGTAATTCATGGACCTGAGGAAATAATGAGTGAGCCCAGTATTTCGCCCAATTTCACGTACCACTCTAGCGCTTTGTGGTTTTCACCGGCAGATGGTAACATTGTATTGCTGACAATACAACTGTATATCCGTCACTACAACTGCGTTAGTGTGTATGCAGCTTAGCCCGTACATCAATGTCAATGTGTGTCTATATTAGAGAAATACCCGCCAAAAGGATACAGACAGCCTCTAGGCTGGAATACCCTGTATAATGTAGGTCAAGAACTGGAATTCAAATATTCAAGCAATAATTGAGACGTCGGTGCCGAGGTCTTTTCAAGGCAATACCAAGTATACCAGCGCAGCTGCCTTTGCTAACGTCTCTGTAGCTTCGGGACACTACTATTGCTCGCCCTGTTAGCTCCTAGCGGCCTTTTCGTGGGAAGGGAAACGATATTGTATAATACTAGTGAAAATTGATACTATTTAGGCAATAAATGCGGCAAACCAGCAAAGAGTTCCAACAGCCCAGCAGGGTACCCTCTACTTACTCATGACAGCCTCACTCAACTAGACAGTAGAATGGTAGGCAACTACAGAACACCACACTAAAACACCACAAATTCATGAAAAGGTACTGACGACGTATAACACGGCCATTAAGAAAGATGACCCTGTTTAAATCCTAAACAAAAACAACTTCCCATGTTAAGAAATTCAGTGTTAAGCAACTGCTAAGGGAAAGGGCATCGTTTATGCATCCACCCAGTTGCTATCCTTTGAACCCTGGGTGTCAAAAAAAAACCACATTCCCGCTGGCCGCGTAACTGCACAACGGAAGGCTGGCCTGGAATCTTCAGGGAAGGCAACGGACGCTTTGTCGTGCCTCTGGGAAGAGAGAAGCAATTATTCCTCCCATTCTTCCTCCGAAACTTCACGGCCTTAAAAAACGGGACTTCATGAAGAAGCGCAACTGGAATCCAGACACTTGCCTGTTTCTGCTGTCTTCATCCTGTGCTCTTTGGGCAAGCTTGCCATACATTTCCACACAGAAGCATGGTGGCGCTAGAAAAACCGGACTGCGTAGATTCTGCCCGCTGTCCACGCCGTTTTGAAACACTGGAGCATCTTCCTTGCAGTCTTCTCAAGGCTGTTGGTCTCAGGATTCCCGTCGCATTTGAAGACACAGCCCAAACCCCAAAGTTGAACTGTGCGAGGGAGTGGGATGGCCAGGCACATCAAGACACGACCTGTCACGGTTACAGGCCTGGAAGTCCCATGCGGCACAGCAGACCTACAGAAAACTCAGTAGCTCCATCACCGCGGAGACATCGAGGGAGGGGCCAATGAAGGCACGTACTTTGAAGTGCAGAAAAAGCAAATAAGCTACAATCAACGCATGGGCTAGGCCTGCCAACGATCCTTGAGAAATCACTACACGTGCTGCCGACAGCGAATGCATCCGGCATTTTCCTGCGGGTGCGGCCAATGCAGAAACTACTGCGTACTGCACCTGCATATGGTGCTGCTACCAATGAGGCTGTTGGTTCCGCTGCGACCGCTGCTGGACAGCAAGGATAAGAAAAACGGAGAATACGCCTGTAGCTCTTGTCATTCTGGCTTTTATCTCAAACGTAGTTGCCCTTCGTCCAGCAATATCCGCTCTGCTCGCCGAGTTTCATTTTCCATGGACACCGAAAGACTTAAAAGCTTATTAATCAAAAAATCGTCTTTTCTTCGAGGCCCTCTCCACATTATACCAGTGAAGTCTCGCACCCAATAACTGCACTCTTTGAAAGCAGCCTTAAGGTCCTCAAGGGTACCCCTGGGCCCTCTTTCTTTGTATCGATCCATCGCTTCTTTAAGTTTCCAGGAGGCTTCATGCATATTAACATAGAAATAGGCGCGAAAATCAAGTTCATCTGGTATCTGCTCCGGGTGAGGAGCAACGTTGCCAAATTCACTTGCAAATGCAGACAAAATATTCCACGCAACGCCGCTTGCGTCTCGTCCATCATGCACTCTATTTAACCATTTGAGGCGCTCCCTTGTACCGAAACGCTGATTGTGTGTATTGAAATGATCACTTGCCTTGCCTAAATAATACTTTAGAGCATCAAACACAACCTGGCAGAATGGCCAATGAGGGGAGGACGGAGTCCAATCGGCACCCAACGCCGCCAAGCCCTCATTCATGAGATCAGAAACTTGCTTAAGTGCCCTCAAGTGCTTTTCTCGTTGTTCCCTCACATCGTCCAGGGGACTGCGCGTGGGTTCTCCTTCAATCCCTGCTGCGCCATGTTCATGAGAATGCCCTTGGGCACCTGCGGTTGCTCCAGGTGATGCTTGCTCCCCTGAAGGTATCTGGGGCCCTACTTGTTGATCGGCGAGCGAAATCCGCTCCATTGCGGCAGCGGCAGCGGCAGCGGCTTGGAGGGCTTCCGTCTCATCATCTTCGGTTGGCGTAGAAATCGGGGAGCACTGCTCATCGCCCTTCCCTTCATCATCGCCTTCTCCTGATGTCCCACCCCCTGATGCTAACCGCCTGTTGCCACCAATGTAAAGAGACCTCGATACTATCACCCGGTAGCAAAAGCGAAGCATGAACACAAGGGCGAGGCAGACAAGTACTCCCGGTATGACTCGGAAAGACAGGGAGGACCGTCTTGGCTTGATCTGATGGTTGAAGTCCTCATAATGCAGCACCGAGGTGTCTGTAGTATATACATCGACGTTTTCCATCTTGTCAAAAAGCTTCACGTGCTCCACACTGAATGGCCCAGTGGAGTCGCCCACAGGTTCTAGAGAGCAGAAAGTTTCCTTTCAAGGCGACGAAGAGTGCAAATCATCAACATCAAGCTAAAAGCACGCTTAGATGCAAATGTCGCACAATATCAATGCGCAACTACTTAGGTACAGGGAACGCGTTCGTTCCTTCAGCCCCGGGGAACTACTATACACGACCTGCTTCAGTACCGACTGAACTGCGAGCGATCACGTTGAGCAGCTCATCAGTAAGACAGTAATGAAGTCTTATTTCTTTACGCATTGTTAAAAATAATAATAATTGTTGAAACTAAATTAGATAAAACCTTCTATAACTTCCTAGTAATGCCATAGTTTCTGCTTCTTGCCATTTTCGTCTTTGGGGGGAGGCGATCACCCTACTCTCCGGTGCTACACTCACGAAGGCAACTATGTATTCTAGTAGAATTATCTTTTGCTTGATTGGATAAATATAGGAATAAAGCTTATTACTCTGGTTCGCCTGCAGAGTATAAGATGTTAGCGAGCCCCCGGTTCTATACGGCAAGGGACAACTGAGGAGACCCGCGTATATTGCTGGATGGATGTTTTGTTAGTGGACACCATTCCCCAGTTGTGAAGAGCTGGCTCAGCTTCTTACGCTTTACGTGCTAGCCTTTGTTTTATCTGGCTTTAGAGCCTCTGCGCAATATAACTGTAGTGTATGGCCCCTACAAGAGACACCCCAGTGCAGTACTATATCTAAATCAATTTAAGCAGCACTTTAAGCAAATTTCTTATGCAAACAATGCCGTCAATCTGCTACGATTGACCAGCAGCGTATTCGAGCTTGGTGAAAGGGGCAATTATTCACCATGAGGAGCCCAGCAATAGGAGATATCTTTTCGTCGCCATTTTTCCTCATTGGGGGACCTTGAATAAATTATAGTGTCTAAATGTGTTAATATAGAGGCAATGGACCTTATTTACCGGATTTAACATGACGGAATGTGCACACCTGAGAGTCACTAGCGCACTAGAGGAAGTGTACCGCGAGACCTGGATCCTAGTCCCGGACCATTGTGAGCTGGACTGGAGCCAAAATATCCTATATTAGACTTCCTTAAATGATAGTAACCTCCTCCTTCAATTTATTAAGGTCCTCAGGCCAGCGGAGCAAACGGATGGATCTGCAGGAGGCGAAGTGTGCTGCCACTATATTACATGGCAAGATGAATTGTGTTGCAACGCACGTTGTTGCAACTCAAGGTGCAACACAGCCACGCATACAAGCACAACGGCGCCTTCTTATCTGCACTTAAAAACACTGTAAACAATTAATGACAGCTTTTGCTCCTGTACACCTTGTGTTTATTTGTGTAATTGTTCTTAGGCTCACTATAGGCGGAAATGTGAACTCCTGCAGGCTACGCCACATCTATTCCCCCGTTGGACTCAATCAGCCCATGTCCTCATGTTCCATTTATGGCTTTGGAGATAGGCGTATTGACGTCTAAATTTCCTCCAATTATTGAGCAATGGAGACGACTTCCTGCTGCTTCTGTTGCTCCTCTCTATTCGTGTCCTGGCAGCACCGCCCCCCGCACATAGACAGCCAGATGCTTGCCTCAGCTGCTAGATCTGTTGTCAGCTGCAGCCAAGAAGGCCATTTCCGGGTTTGCCAAACAATTTGAACTCCGCCGTTCACCAGTTTCTTATACAGCTAACGTTCTGCGCTGGGTTTCCTTCACTATCCAACTCCATTTAAAGACGGAAAGCAGCGGAGAAAGTTGGCTTGTATAGGAATACTATTCGCCTCGTTAACAGTGACGTTCCCCTCAGGATGTCAAGGAAAAAAAGAGCTGATGTACTCATGGTTCAAAGCATCTCACCACACGTAGAGTAGCAAACACAAAAGAGCCGTGGTAATTATAGACATTAACGATGTACACAACTGTTGAAGATTTTTTTCTTGCGTACCGTCTGTCTACTAGGGCTGGGTAAGGGTCCATGCGCTCACTGCAGACAGATTTGCCAACATCATACAGAATATGAGGAAATTCAAGTTTCGCTCTGCTTACAGCCCCATGAATAAGGACAACCAATGTCCATTTGCTGCATGCGCTAATACAGTAGACAATTGGGGAAGAATTTCTCATGCGCCTTTGCTGCCTACTGCATACGTTTAATACGTTAACTTCACACAGGCTAGCCATAGTCGCATAGACTCTACTAATGTAAGCAACTGTGGGGCGGGGGGAGGCCGGCAAAGTATATTGGGATAAGCTCCTCTAACAAATCTACATAATATTTAAGTTTAAATAATAGTAACAATTAAAAATTAACAGTTGAATGGTATGCTGCATTAGGGGGCTGCAGCACACCGAGCTTGCCACTGCATGCGCTGCAGGTCGAGACCCGATATTGCATGCGTCTTCTGTTCCGCTTTTCTACAAATAAAAGGTTGAAATAAACCGTTAAATTGTGTGTTTTTTTAATTTTAAATATATATTTAGCTTGTGTTTCTTCTCTTAAGAGATTGATCCAATTAACCACGCATACTGTTGCCGTCATGATTGAACGCCGGGGTAAGGGGGGCCCCCGATTTTCTCGTTTGAGCTCTTCTGGTATAAGCGGCAGAAGAGGAGGAGAAAAAAGTTCAAGAGGAGGGCAAGAAAGAGCATTTAATAATTCCTCTGTTGCTGCAAAAAGAAGACGAATAGAAGATGAGAATATTGAGTCCGATTCTGCATCAGGAGCAGAAACACCGCCTTCCTCTGATGGAGAATCAGATACAGGTAAGAAGAAGGAAGAAAATATTCTTCTTATAAAACTGCAGCACAAAGGAGAGGCATTAACAGCATGCAGCTACGCCTAGATGCATGACTCTCTTCTCTTAACCAACAGGAGAATATGACGAACAATTATATTCTTTGCATGCAGTGTACTGTCTGTTCTTATTCCCCTGCAGCCTGCTACTCAGCTGTTTGTATAGTGCTGCTATATGCCAGTTGTTATGCACATCCACGCATGCATATGCATATGCATGGATGCATGCATCCATGCATCCATGCATCCATGCACGCATGCAGTCGTGTGTGTTGCGTGTTCGTGCATGCATACATGCATGCATACATACATGCATGCATACATACATGCATGCATACATACACGCATGCATACATGCATGAATACATACATGCATGCATACATACACGCATGCATACATGCATGCATGCATGCATGCATGATGGTTATATGATGTATATATGCAGGCGGAGAAACAACAGACGAGGTACGTCTACGAGTAGCGCAGCAATATCTTCGTGAGGTATCTGCAGCAGCAAAAGGGAGAAGGACTAAGAATAGTTCATCTACATTTTTATCTGGTGCTGCTGATCCATCAGCAGCAGCAGCAGCAGCAGCAGCAGAAACAGATCCAGCATTTGCTTCCTCAGAGGACAGCGACAGCAGCAGCAAAGAAGAGGAAGAAGAAGATGATTTTTTTGAATATGATGATAAGGAGGCATTAGCAGCAGAATTAAAGAAAAAGGCAGAAAGAGGAAAAGTACGTTACAATCACAACAGACACCACCATTCCCATTCTAGGGTTTAGGGTTTAGGGTTTAGGGTTTAGGGTTTAGGTCCTCTATTCATATTTTTTTTTTTTTTTTTTTTTTTTTTTTTTTTTTTTTTTTTTTTTTTTTTTTTTA